CTGTGAGCTAGTGAAATCATTTTCCTGGAATATTCTTCGACTTCTAGGAGTGTGTATGAGTTACGTTAAAAACTCAGAAGCTCTCCCTGATGTTTACTCCACCTCGATTCCCATGAGAAACTATTTGTTTGATTTTATTTTGTACGCGTCAAATGAGTTCAAACTGAATGAAGACAGGAATGTCTTAAAAAGTTGTGTAGTGGAAACTAAATCCACCCGGTATTCATCTTTTTGAATTTTGACAAAGAAGGTTGCATGTTGAATTTCTTCAAAGAGAAATATCAGCTGAAAAAAGAAAACTGATTCAAAACATTGAAAAATAGCTTCTCTGGATTCCATTTCCTATTGATCTTTTTCTATCAGTCATACTGCGATAGATATGGAAATACAACTTTGAAATCAAATTTTTTTCTCAACTGTTTGATATTCATTTATGTATTTGCGTAAATATGAAGTTTTCAACCTTTATGATATACTATTTCATCAACTGGGGAGCATAATAAGGCTGTCTTAAGTCTACGGGTCCTTTAAAGGCATTACGTTTTTGCCCGGTAAGATAAACACATTCTCCCATATTTTCAGTCAGAAGTATGTCTGAATTATTTCGAGGACATTTAGTTTAGTAATGATGGATAGTGGCTGACAGTGGAATCCAGGATGGGCATTTCGTCTCAGTTGGGACTCGTCAGCAGGCTGCACAAGCAATAACCCGAAGACATTTAGTTTAGTTTAGATATATCCAGTGCGTCGAAAAGTCTCATTCATTATAGTCTAATTCTTCGTAGTCTCTTAATCTAAGTCAAAACAATCTTGAAGCATCAGCTGCACGGTTATTTACTTTTTTTCTTTTGATGATTTTGAAACTTTCCATTTGTGTTTTACACTATGTTTTATCTATAGTTGTTTGTGTCACCGAATAAAACGTTGTCTGAGCTGCTGTTCGCCATTTCTCTTTTCATTATCCATAACATGTTATCTCCAAGTCTGGCAACATACAATAAATCATCATGAGTTGCAACGCTCATCCTTAGCTGATTCAGAATTCCCATAAGGCAACATGCTACTTATCTCATTATCACTGTTTGCTCAAGTCTTGTCTTGGGATGAAGGTTCATCCTATACTAGACACAAAGCAAGGCTCACCGGTAGGATTCGAATATAATGATGAAGTCTGGTTTGCTTTTCAAGGCTAGACCAACTCCTTACTTCATTTGATGCTGTTGCGAAGAAAAATGAGAAATTTTTAAAGCATTTAAAATAACCACTGTAAGATCTTTGAAAGTCCTGAATATTTTTTCCACTTATCCTAACTTCTGTTTTGAACAACAAATCACTTTAAATTATGATTGATGAACACAGAAATCACTGGTGTATGAGTTAAGAAATCTTTCCACTAATGCAACTGAAAGGAATAAACAACAGTCATCATATAATGTAAACCTTTCTCTTTTTTAAATTGGTCATGTGTGTGTGTGTGCGTGTAATACTGAGAGTGAGACAGAGGATCAGCTATTATTATTATTATTATTATTATTATTATTACTAGTATGGTAACATATGTGTCCAACTGAACTGAATTTCTGTTTGAATTAGCCCAACCTACTCCCATCACATATCCGAATTCTTTTGGAATAATGCCGAACCTTATGCGTACGTCAGCATACATATATATCAGCGTTGCAATTAGACAGCTGCAATGCTGATATAAATGTCATGGTAGAGTGAACCTGGGAATGCGATGATAACCAGATTGTTATTGTTGATGATTATGATGGTGAAATTTTCAATTTTGGTTGATTAAACTATTTTGTACATATTTCTTTTGGGATTCTTTAACTCATCTGTATTTTTCTTCCTTTGGGTTTTTGCTGCTTCATTTCTGAGTAATAAAATTGAATCAGGACTCTTAAATTTGTTTAAACGATGTTCTGTAAAGACGATATTTCTTACGGACTGCTCTTATAGACAAAGATTGGAGAAAAATGCCGACTGTAAAGGTATGACAGTGGTTAAGTCCCTTGCTCTATTATCAAAGGGATAAGCTTCAATTTTCCTGGAAAATATGGGTTCCCTTAATGGGTGTAGATAAATAAGCCTTACAGATGATCGCTGATAGGTCCGAAACAAGGTGAAGTGGGTTTTCTGATGATTGACTAGCAACACTCTATAGTAAACGTCATCCTATAGTGTCACTTGGATATCAGCGTTTTGAACACTGATGACGGTTTGCATTTATCGATGGATTTCACTCCATAGGATCTCATTAAACAGTCTAACGGTTCAATATGCGACATCATATTCAAAATAAACCACAAGTTTGTCAAGCTGTATGTAGTGCCAGGGGTTTAGTGAACTATTTAAGTTGATTAATTCCTTGCATCATTTCAAAACTCTAAAAAAAGACCTGTTTATTGATTACTTTGCTGCGGAACAAGAGGCATTATAAGAAATAAGGTAATCTGTAGATTTGATTGGTCAAACCAGAGTGATGTTAACAGGCAACCGCTGCCGTGTTTGTCTTTTTTCATGCTCATCAGACACATACGTGAAGAGATTCAATGGGCAGAGCCAAAATTGTTTTATTACCAGATGATTCGAGTAGTCCAGCCTACCACAAAATACTTAGCCAGTTGTAAGAATAATAATTTCCAGTAACTTTCTTTAAATAGGCTCTTAAACTATTTCGATCACTGAATAAATCAGCATATAAACAGTAATTGATCTGCTTCAACTAGACAACGAAGCGTTTTGGAAATCACACTCCTAAGCCTTAAAATTATCTTTTCTACCACTTAACTCTTAATCATTCACCTCGTTGACATACAGAATCAAAAACTAGGTGGTTCTTGACAATTATGACAGTTGAATTATTGCAGTCAACAACTTTGACATAATCACTCAGAAAAAAATGTGCATGTCACTGCATGAAAAGACTTTGGCTGGTATTTCACCCATCATTAAAATTGACTGGTAAAATTCGCTTACAGAATACTACACGGTTAGTCAAAAGACAAACAGTCATTTAGACTGGTGAAGTAAAAGATAACACATTTTTTTGGATGAACAACTGTTCAGGAAAAGAGACGCATCAGTCATCTATTCGAATATTCATCTTCCTTCAAATATAAAGTTTGTGCAGCGTCAACTTAGTGCTTTCATTGACCAACGCGGAAATATGTTCAACATTGAAAAGTTGTAGAAGCTGTATTACATTATTTTGAAATTTAGCATCAATATGATAAAAAGTCATTCAGAAACATACAACGAAGAAAGAATAACATGGTGGTGAATATTATGTGAAGTTTAGCTACATCGTAAACATAATGTCAACAATAAAACTGCCAAACAGTCATGTGGGAAAGAAAAGCATATCTGCTTTTTGTTGGTGACATTCAACAGAAATCTTCTTCCAAAAAAATACCCTTCAATACAGCTGTTTAGCTAAGTGGAGTGTATTTGCCTGAAAAATATTCTGATAGCGGGTGCTCTTAAATGTTCAAGTGAACTTCTTTTTTGTCTAAAATTACAACCAAAGTTATGTGGATTTTTAAACTTGTAAAATGAATAGGTCAATTGAGTTAAGACGTTTCTAGAGTTGAATTGTGTTTTAATTAGCTGTATCCGTAAGACTAGGGCAAACAAACTGTGCTTAAATTCTCAAAAAAAATTGCTACAAATGATCTGCGTCACTCACAAAATATTCGTAAAAAGAATGTAAAGAACTAGAAATAAAATTCGAACGTTTCTCTGACTATTCTATCAGTATGAAACTAATTCAATAGACGGGAAAAAAACTTCTGTCATCTCATAGGCATTTTGATGAGTACACTGTTAATTTAGCTTGAGTTCCTGTAGATTCAGCTTTCAAAATCTGTTTTAGTATCATTTTCTTTACAGTTAGTTTTATATTGATTACATCAGAAGTTATTGGAGTACAATACCATGACATGTATTACTGCTGTTCACGTGAGGTTGTCTACAACTAAAGACTGTAACATCAATGACCTGTGTTGTTCCTAAGGTATATATTTAACCAACAGTATCATTTTATTCTTGGATAACTTGAGTATCCTGACAAAATCTCATCAACAGCTAATACTTGGGTAGTTCAAATCTGCTCAGAGGTCAAGTTGTGGTATAAATGACTTCATGTTAAAGCCTCTGGCTCCATTATTCCCCTTTGTAGGTTTCAATCTTAAAATGAATTTGTCTCTGCTACGGGTTGCTTGGACGACTTACTAATAAGTGCCAACAAGCTCAAGCAAAACTTCCTGTTGATAGACTGCTAACATCTATTGCTTTCAACCAACTTGCAAATGAAAACATTCTCAGTAATTCATAATAGTAATAATAACTTTATTCTAAACAATATGTATCAAGCGGTATAGAATTCTCAACATGTAATTTTTCAGCACAGTCACTCCTGGAACGATATTTTTAGACTAATTGATCACTGCATCTCAATGATGTCAATAGTAACAATATTCAAAGTGATAATGTGCAACAGCCAGCTGGTTTTGGATAAGTGTCCAGTCCATGGTGAAGAATTAATCGAAACGCAATCGTAAGTTTGGTGGTGATAGTTCATTCAATCAATACAAGGATTCACAACTCAAGTTAAGTATCCAAGGTGTAAAAATATATAATGTACTTTTGCGCACTGAAAAGTCCACTTCCATATAATGTGATTTTTTTTTCTCTTTTTTGTTATTAAATTCAGAATAAGGGAATTGAAAACATTTAAAAAATAAGCAAGAGTATATGATACTTTCGGAAGACATATTTAAATGATCAAAACAAATTGAAAAGTAAAAAATGATATGTTCAGCATAAAATTTCGATGACCCAAAGTTCAAGCAGACCGCCACTGATTCATTGATAGATATTAGGAGCATGCTTTGCTCTCACCAATTATATGATAAACTGCTAATCAATATTACGAGACCTGACACTGATTATTTCTCTCCCTTTTTCTTCTTTTTCCTGTTTAAACATTTCAGTTACATTTAAAAAACCCTTCAGTTTATTTGGTAAAGAAATGCCTGCAGAAAACGAAAACAGTCAAAGTACTACTGATATCAACATGAATAAAAAGTAAGGAGTCATAAAAATGTTTGTAAAACTTCTAATAATTATTTAGCCAGCTAGCTATAGGTCAGACTGAATGGTTTCTAACTACTCAAGTAGTATTTTTCATTACTCATCCTATCCGACCTGAAATATTTAGGAATAGGACTAATACAACTTAGATAATTTTAAATACATTTTACGGTTAACCAAAAATCAGAGTTCATGAAGGGAAGTAATAATCATTTGTGTTCATAAGCTATTGGAATCACTGAAGACTATTGTTAAGAAAGAGAAATAACACGCTTTACCAGAGTATTTTTTTTTTAAATTACTGAAAATTCAAATTTCTTCCCTACAGTACTGACGCTTTTCTATTTTATGAGAATATGAAAGCACAAATCTGTGGCTGCGCAAAAATCACCGAAATAATGAAACCTTTTTTCTAGTCTGTTAGTAACTAAACTATCCAAAAACCATATGCATTTGCGTAGACTAGACAACGAACTGCTATCATTATATGAGTGCTACATAATTCTACCTGGCCACTCAAAACTTTGTAGGGGGGTTGAAGTTTGTACTTCTGACCAGTTGGTTGGAAATCCATCACTGAATGTAAATAAGTAAATTGTAGTTTGACTAATGGTTGGCAAGTTATGTTTCTGTGTTTCTTCCTTATATGTAAGAATCCTGACACATGAAAATCCTAACATAATCTGTAAACATTATGATTTTATTAGGTTAACAAAATCTGAGATGAAAAGCAGTTGCAGTTTAGTTTATATAATCAATTGCTTTGGCGGGTGTGATGATTTTATCATGATATCATGATTCGGATCAAAACAAGCCAAGAACTTTATGGCTCATCTAAAATAACACATCTGAATTTAATGATAATGGAAAACATATTACTATGGGGATATCATCAGTATCTCTGTTGTTTGTGATAATTCGAAACATGCATCGTAATCCCCTAGACTCGTAATCAAGTTAAGCTAAGCATGAATTTTATGCTGAAAGATAGGTGAAAATTTTTTTAATTATTATTCGAAGTGAATTCAAGACATAAGAGTTACAGCAGTATGCCTATACAGTTCAGCAGAAAATTTGAAATATTTGCCGTAGTATTAGATGTATGCCATATCTGCTCAAGAAAATCTTCCAAAAAATGAGAACATTATACTCAAAGAACAAATCAAAGGAGAAAATTCACAAGTCTTCAAGAGATGATTTGGGAAAACGGATTCCAGGAGGAATTTATAATGACACGTAAGAAAGAGTTTACTGAGTCATCAACTTGCAGTTAAGAAACAACTTATTTTCATTCTTGTTACATTTTCAGAGACTGCGGTAGAATGACAAAATTTTTATGGAGAAGAAACTTTACTGCTGCCAGATAGATACTGGTGATCTAGAATACACATTTATCAAAAAAGTATTAAATCAATGCACTTTTTTGGCAACCAACAAGTGCATTAACCCATTTTTAAATGTTTACGGAAATAGGTGCACAGAAAGGACTGAGCAAGAGATATTTGTTCATTTTTCTGAGCATATTCCTAGAAATCTGTTTTAAATGAAGTATAATCTTACAAGATCCTTCCAGAAACCAGATTTCTAGAGATTCCATGACAGGTAAACCATTTACACTAAATTTTGCTTAAGCATTTTCAACCTAACCTGCCGATAATCTTTGACAGCATTATGCGTGAGCAATAATTTGACGAAACCACCTCTTCCTTAATGTCGGTAAATCTTCGGCCAGTCGTGATATAAGGTGTCGCCTGCCTACGTTATTCCTAGGTTGCGTGGTAACTATCCTTTTTTCATTTCTATTGGTTTCAATTATTTCCCTTAAATCACCACACTTCTCAAGTTACTTAGGGATCATTTACCCTTGATTCTTTAAGATACATTATACAGTTGTCATACAACTCTGAATCTTGATCTTTAAATAAAGGGATTTATGCAAGGTTATATGTTTATCTATTGTGATCATTTATCGCAAACTTTAATTTGTCTTCTATTGTTGGAACATCATGCATCGGAAAGAATTCATGTTATTCTGTGAGTCTCTTTGTCATCGAGTTTTTCAAAATTACCAAAAGGATGCAGTGTTTGACATTCGACAGTGATTTATATTAACCGTAGATCAACTGAACAACTTTCAAGCTTCATGTATTCATTTGTTTATTCTATGGAAACTGTTTATTAAATCCCAAATTTATGCAATTCCTACTTCTCAGACATTATTATTGTTCTATCCTTTGGTCAGAGAGACACAAACATAAACAACATGCGACTTTATGTAACTAACTACGAGTAGAGTTTGTCATGCTTCACACAAGCATATTGGGAAATAAGAAAACAAGGATATGAATATAATGTAAGTAATGGTACACGTAAGAAACGAAGATTAGCCGAGACCGATGTCTTGGAATACAAGTTAAGTAAGGACAAAGTTACCATGCATATCTCATACAGACTGAAATAGTTTCATAATTCTGCTTTACAAGACCGGGAAACTACAGCAGTTAAAGGTGCCTAATTTTTAAGTCTGTTGGTAATTATTTATTGATTTCAGGTTGCCACTCATCATGGTCATCAGCGGTTCGACCCCTATGAGGTTCATGAGTGCAATCTACTGAGTTCCATACAAGGATGAAATAGCTGTCCAGGACTTCCAGACCTTCAATGTCTCTCCAACTGATGTTAGTCCATAATGAATACGAACATCAAAAGTACTTAAGTTATACATTTAAAACACTTTAAAATAAACCACTTTTAACCGACAACTTATTTAACAGGAGTGCAATAAGCAAAAACTTGATCAAACAAGTGAAAATCCTGTATTTGTCTTTGGCCAAGGTAAAGATTTTTAACTCATGAGAATATCCTGAAATGAACCTGCCTTCACAAAATTAAATCCCTATATTTAATAAATTCTCTTGGCAAAAGTATATTACTGAATTCTTTAAAAGTAGCTTAATAACTTGACATTTTAATCCTATCAACAAACCAAACTATTAAGTTATGTAGTATGTATTTTCGGTGACCTTGAAAACACGATGTTTATTCTGTCACATGATAATCGGTCCTATGAAACTTGACACAACGAATGTGACATCAAACTTTTTAAACAGCATGTCGTCTGAAGTGATTAATGCTTGCCTTGCAGCAATCACAGGTAAGAAAAGATTGTCGTTTACGTTTAGTAAATCAGAGTGCATAAGACCTAAGAAAGCAATAATAAGAGTGTTTTTAAGTACTTTTCGGTTGAAATTTCACCACGCGGATCTAATTTAGATCGAAAATAGTAGATTATAATGTTAGAATAGGGATCGAGGATAGGATTGGAATAATTACGACGAAAATTGTTTTCAAACTACTAAAGCGAGGTGATTTTAAACAGGTGTGCCACATTTTAATTAATTTGCAGAAACTACAGAAGTAAGAAGATATAAGTGGATTATGTAGTTGAGTAAATATTTACCAAAATAAGTGGACTGCAAAGTAGTTGCAATATATTACTCCTAACATTGTAGTGGGGCTTACATAAGATCAACAGACTACTCACAAAAATACAAGGCACGAGCGGTAACCTGATGCCCCTGACAAGTGATTCCCTTAGGGATTTAGAGATAATGCAAATAAAGTTTCTGATATCAAATATAAGAAATCAGTCAACAGGAATCCCTTGATTTTGGTCTCATCCAAATATGATCAGGGCTTATAATTTGATATCTTCATCTCCAACCATTTAATAACCAATTCGTGTATAACAGAAGCCGATAATGTACTGACCAGTCTGTCTGTCGAATCAAAGGAAGAATGATTTACAATGTACTACTCATTATGGATATGAAAATGAATAACTGCGTGGCTTGAAGTTTTTCATATTTTAAACAATGCATTCTGCAAACCAGTGTAATGGCTTTATTGATAGCCTTTCATTAAAAGAATCATCTGAGTCTTAAATAGTATGAATATCTGAAACAAAAAACTTAAATAAACAATGATTAATCACCATCTTGTGGGCAATTTTTTGCACAAGTTTACTTTGAATGCATGAATAACATATGTTTCTACCTGAAACCATTTCTCAAGTAGCTTCGGAAGTTTCAGCATTTTAGATATTCGGCCTAAATTTTGAATCACAAATTTATTATTATTTGTCTTTTGGGTTCCTACTGCAACATAGAGATTCAGTAGCACGTCGCCATTCCACTCTCTTCTCTGCAGTCTTCTCAACCTTGCTCCACGACTCCACACAAACTTTCATTTCTTCCTCACACGATCTCCTCCATGTCACCCTCAGCTGGGACGCCCAACTCGTCGTCTTCCGTTTGATTCTCACTAAAGAGCCTGGCTTGGCGAGTGATGTTCCCAAATGGTCTCGTCAGTCTATATCCAATCCAATCAAAGCCGTCTCCATCTTCTTCTGCATACTTGTTGGACGATGGGTTCTTGCTTCTTTGGTTCGTTGCCAGCCAGCCAGCCAGAGTTCCTTGTTGCTCATTCTTATTATTCTGGCCACCTGATCTGATCTTTAGTGTCAGTATCGAGTGAGCGTAGGTGAAAGCTGTTGATGATGTCTGTCTGTAATTTGTTGGAAATGCTTTTCGTAACTTACTTGATTGATATTAGTGTTGAAAATGGGGATATTATTCACGCTTTATGTTGAGTCTAGTGCAGTGCAGTAGGTCTGCATGACTTAATTCAGATTAATAATGATCTCTCTTGCTTGCTATTTCAATCCTGGCCTTGACGTCCTCATCTGTGCCTGTGCCTCCGCCTGTAGTTGAAAGGATGCTGCCTAGGTAGAGTGGTAGGTGAAGGAGACAACTACATCTAAATTTCTCCTGTTAATGGTGATTGGTGCATGTTGTTTTTGTTGGTTGGGTATCCTCATCACCTCTGTCTTCTCTACGGTCGCCTAAAGGAAGTCCTATCTTCGCTGCCTCACCTCGCTTCTTCTGCTCCTCTTCTCGCTCCTCACAGTTGTTGGTTGTATGATCCAGTACAGTCGGCCACAATCAGGAAGATCGTCGGTGATAGTAGGCGGAAGCCTTGTCTTACTCATATCTTCACTTCAAAGGCATTGCTGAGCTTTCCACTGTGAATCACTTGGCATGTGGCGTCGTCATACAGCTGTTGAATGAGGTGGATAAAGGTTTGTGGCACTGAAACCGTAGTGCTAAAGCAGCAGTTTCCAAATTACTTCTCGATCAACGCTGAGAATAGAAATACAGTGAGTGTTTTTGCTGATAATAGATGGACATTAAATACATGCGTAAATTTTAATCGGTCTGAATATGAGCGTGATGTCACCAATATCTCTTTCTGAAAAACATTACTTACTCTCTCCTTCCTGAAAGTTAGATTGTTCCAAGTAGTACATATGAATTAAAGTAAAGCAGATAATGTCTAACGATTCTTGACAAGTTGAAGACTGTTTTGAAGTAACCTGAATAACATTCACACTCACCGCTAAGTTAAAAGTATACAGTACTGTTGATGTAGTGTCTGACACTTTTTTTCCTTCCTTAAGAAATAACAGATTTCTGCTGCTTTTTCTTTTTCGAAATTCACTTGACAGTTTCTCTACGAAACAATCAAATTAACCTTCAAAATCTCCCTATGGACCTAAAAACATAACGGTCAATATTATCTTTTAGATACCACACCTCGTTTAAAACCCCCACTGTCTTGTTTTACATTTGGTAATCTTCTGGACGACTGTACTTACTAAACTAGTCGATTTTCCATATTTCAAAATATTTAAAATCTAACTGGTAATAAAATTCACTTTTTACGTTGATTTGTTAAGATGTTTTTAAATATATCCTTTTACTACTAGGAACGAAAATGGTCCCATGAAATTCACTTTCAGTAATGTATGTACTCTAAAAATTTTAAGCACTCAAATCTATTCAGGCATAAATTAAAGGTCCTATTGTGTGAAGAATTTCTAGACATTGAAGAGTTATTTTAGGTAACACACTTACTACTTTAGAAAATAGAGTCAGACTACACATTTCACAGATCGTGCTTAGACGTCTTTCTAACGTTAAAGACTTGGACCGAAGTACTTCTATAAATCTACACTTGTAATTCGCTAACGACTATCCAATACTCCATCATCTAGTCTTCAGAATTTACTGAATTCCAATATCTAAGAAGAGACAGTATGAGTCCATTTACGGTTGCCCGGTATTCGTTTCTAATCTAGGTTAGTGATACAAAAAAACTATGATCTAGGGTTTCTTCTAGACTACTTTCAACAATCGAATAGTTTTAATACTTCGTTTGAACAGTGAAGAGTAAAATATATGGCTTATCTTGCGAAATTTTGTAATGCAACAGAAACTAGGTGATCTACAAAATCAGTGATAAAAATGTCAGACATGACAGATAGACAATAATTTTATGATGCTTTAGCTACCATTGATGAACTAAAAAGTGTTTAATAAAAACTGTGAAAACAGTCAGTGTTTTTCGAACACTCACCTCATAGCATACATATAGGTTCCTGGACTAGTCAATTAACTACTCCTTATACTTGAAGGCTGCCACTTCAACCTTGCTGCCAAAATCTCATCAAGAGAAGGGTTCATGGACTGAAATTCAAAGGCTAAGATGTATTCATTTTTAATCATAACTAATAATTCATTTCATTTACTGTTTGGTAAATAAATTTGTGATTTTTATTCTAGTGGTATTGTCGATACTGAACAACTTGCACTCATGGCGATGAAGGTGAGTTGATATTATTACCTATGATGTACACATGCTCATATGTACATGCTTGATCAGTCCTATTAAGTAGTAACGATCAAAATATAAGTACATAGTATAACTTGTCAATAAAATAGTATAATACCATTTCAAGTGTACACTTTATCCATTTTGCTACTTTTCCTTCTCAGTAAGTATCGAAACCAATTCTCAACACTTGTTCAAAGGATTTTCTTAGTCTGAAGGAAGAAGATTCAAGTTTACTTCTTGTATGATACTCGAAATATGTAAAATACATCATAAATTAGTGAGAAGTATTTGTATTGATAAAGAGAACTGAGTCACTGATAAGAGTAAACATTTAAAAACACTCTGAAATATTCATTTAACTGGGCTTATCCATATTTTAACTTAAAATAGGCGAAAGTGTATGTCTAATGAATAGGTGCAAAACGTAGTTGACGGTATTTGGACAGTATTCTTCTTCATACATCTGTATGCGTAATTGCTTTTATCACTAAAGTATAAGAATCGGGGCAATGTAGTAAAGTATGACTCGATTTCAGTTCATCTGTTAGATGCACAATAAACTGTAAGAGACGAACAGATCAGCGTAGAACCTGGAACGCAAGTGCATTGCTTCAATTTGGTATGCTTTACAGAAATACGCAAGGAAGAAATGTATGGTAAAAGCATAGCATCAAAGTCTTCTAGCGGAGAGGGAAAGTGAATGAAATAAGTTAAAACTTCAAATGTGACAAAGTGCATTTGCTTCTGTGCCAGTGTGACTAAATTTTAGCCGTATCACCGACAGACTCAAAATATTGTTCCTATTGTCTTGAGAACCTCAACCAAGCAGTCCTGACCTCTTTACACAACTTAAGTTAATTGTCAAAAATTTCGTGTAATAATTCCATGTCTTGTTTTAACTACTCTCAGTTTTTACCAACTCAGTCCCACTTCAGATAGCATTATACGTCGATGTAGGTAGTGGCTTGAAATGTGCAACTCATGTTCAAGCAATTTCAACTGATCAAAGCTCAGAAGTCCATTGACTAACTTGCACTGCTTGCCTAGTATCCGACATTTAACCTCAACATCACTCACATGGTGATCCTACCTATATGGACGCTGCTATAATCAGTTTCCTTCTTTACCCAACTAACTTATGTTTTAAAAACTTCAGCCCCTACCTTTGCATGATAGTGTGTGGTTGTTCCACTAGGTTTTTCTGCTGATAAATTCATTTTCTAAGAGACTTTCTAAGTTTTAATGACTTTAATATCCCCATAAATTTCAACACTGAAGCATCCAGATTATTTTTGGATCATGCACCTGTGATACCATTTCCAGTGACATTTAGCTTCCTTCATAAAATGTGTTCCCATATCGGTTAAGGATAGTCGCTTCGTGTTTAGAAATTATAAGCTTCTATTAGAGATCATAACTTGTTATTGCTCGCTTTCTTCTGAAAATAAACAAGGGTGTAAACTAAGATATTGGAAATTCGATGCTTTTTGAACAAGTGATGACCATTTTAACTCGGTGGCCTTGTGGATGCGAGTCTGATATTTGAAGCGATGGGTTTCCTTATCCGAAAACGAAAGAAATACATGTTTTGAAGTCTAGCACAAAACACTATGCAAGAATATCTGTCACGCGTAGGTTCCTGTTTCTTTTCATTCAGTGAAAAAACATATTCCACGGGCATAAATTCCTTGCTTGTATACGTCTTAAGATGAGAGGTCAGTACTCAGAAATGAATCATTAGTGTTTAACCACTGCTCAAATAACCATTTAAATGATATGAATTATTTTGCAAAAATGTAGTATATCTTTTTTTCTGCAAACTGTTTAGATATTGATAACGGTAGTAGTCATGGTGTTTAGTATATTAATACTTTCTAGTGAATCACTTAGGTTCTGCGACTGACCGACATATAGTCAGTCCATTCATATACAAACAGTCATGCCTACACCATAATTCTAACACAGTCATTCACATGTATAGGAATCGCTTTTCATTATGCACACGGTATTGCATATACAGCTGAAAAATTATATTGAGAACAGACCTGTCTCACTGTCTCTGTTCACTAGCCAATACTGCTACACCATACTGGATATATTACAGTCGTATATTGTACAACTTGTATAGTACATATTTTGTACGCTTAATAAATTTATACCACTGAGTGAAAGCACTTATATTTGTGTTGTTAATCCGCATTCCCATTATTCACAGGAATCAGAACGCATGTTTTCGCAGGCTAAATTAATGTTTCCATCAAATCAAAATCTCATGGTAGATGAAAATTCTGAAAGAAGTGGTTCACAATTCAATAGCGAAAATGATGGAAACGCAAGAAATGACGAAGGAGTTGTACAAGGATATCAGTCTCGATTTGCAAATCTTCCACTTTATCAAGGATATGGAATCATTGCACACCAAGTACGTTTTTTTTCAATGTTATTTTATTATCTTAATATATCGAGTCCTGGATGATGTAAAAGTTATCTATTCCCTTGAGTGTGTCTCAAATGTTTAAATAATATTCGTTGTGTTCCTGTCTTCGTTCCCGGTTTTATGAAGAGTGCTTATTCTTACTGTATATAACTGCTTTATAGATTGTTCTTATTTCTATGTCAAGGACCTTAGATAATTTTTGAATTCAATGAGGTAACAGAAGTCTCTTTTTAATAGTACCGGTGAATATAACACTTCAGTCAAAACCAAATTAACTCACATTGTGATGTGATAACAATCAACTGAGCAATGATAATTTATGCTCGAAATGTCATCAAGTAAATAATACTAGATCATTGTGTGTTATAAATCAAATAAACAAACCTAATATGGAATTAAATTCTACCACAGTGCCCAAGTTTTACACCTATATTAAGTCTTCAAGATCTTCCAATTAAACATAGATGACTTTTTGGAAAGGGTTTGTCCAGAAAATATCTTCCTGTAGCTCAATTTTAGAAGTGAAACCATTTTGAAATGAAACTTTAGTAGAGTTAGTTGCAGAACTCCCCCCATCCATATTTTTGTAACCTGCAAATAAGATTCTGTAGTGAAAGTGTATAGTCTCAGACCCTTTTGCGTCACAGTCAACACTTAAGCACTTGGAATAAGAGTTCCAACCAAAAAGCCTTAGTCATTTCTCTTGGTAATACATGTAAAATAAGAAGGCAGATTCTCTTGGCTAAACCAGATGACTACAAAATATACTGTTTATGGTGAAAATGATGCAATCATGGTAGACTCTGATTTCATTCCAGGTGTTACCAACGGATTCAAACAGCCAGTAAGTCCTGTAAGTGACTCACATCTGTGAGCTGGATCAGTCCAGTGGCACCGGTGATGAGTCCAACATCACACAAGTCAACGACCTTCTCAGTGATAAGATCATCATGATTTGGTAAGTGAGGAATTATGGTTGTACTGAGTAGTCCACAGCTATTTGTGACGATCAGTGGTATATTTTCAGTAGATCCAACCGAAAAGGTTCTTTTGAAACATGGTTTTATTGAGAATAAGTGAAATTTTGTATTACTTTAGTTACAGGATTCAGTTTACTAACAAAGTGTACTACTAGTGTTTTACTGAGTACCCGGTATGCGTCTAACATAAGGCGTGAAGTGATTTGCCTCCATTAGTTGAGTGGAGCATTATGACTGGCGCTGGTGAAGGAACGTTTGTTTTGCATTTTAAAAACATCATAATTTTTCCCATATAGTGCTAATATAAAACCAAGTGGTCTTGTTGTTGCAAGCCTACACAATAATGAAACTAATATCCCTAGTCGGAATGGCAAAGATTTAGACTAAATGACGCATTCTCGTTAGACTGTCGAATTTTCACTTTAAGCTATAGTGGGTGATCTAGTTTCACAGTTTCAGGAACAAAATATAATCGCTAAGCTGAGACTTGATCATTGCTAAGCATTTAAATGTCATTCAACGAAATAATCTGAATTAAGCTCCCCGTGCTGACTGGAAACTAAATATCATTTGTGGGATAATAAAACTTCACTGGGTTTTATACTACTCGTACAGAATAGTTCTAAAATACAAGAGATGTTGTTGTTCAGTACTCTGGGAAATGTGTTGTGCAAGACAAAACACTATATGTTTCGCTACCATTCTAATCTGCCTATAGCTTGACTCTGTGTAGATTGTCTCTACTGTAGCCTTCGTAGATGTTTAGAACTAAATCTTCAGTGTTATTTTCAGTATATCGGTATTATTACTAATAAGAATGATGATAAGTGTGTTGTCTATCATGACAATCATATGGCAAGAATTACTATTAGTTGCAATGGACACAGTGTAGTAAAACACACACTTTTCTATTGATCAACAACAATGACAGCAGAAAATTTCAGCTCATATTAACACTGTTTTCTTTTGTTCATCATTAGTTACAGCCAATAATTATAAAGTTGTTGGTGTTGTTGCCCTTTTCACCACTGAAAAGAAAGAAATATGGCAACAACAGCTACCATTTACAATATGCATATCTGTCACATGATTAATTTACTAATCTTGTTAAGTATTGCGACATACGATTGATTAGTATTAGTACTCTTCAATTGAGTTTAATAAACTCACTGCCATTCCATATTCATTGTCAGATGCAGTAATTGATCAGGAAGAATATACAAAAAATTTATGCATTTCAGAGGGGATAAATAATACTAGTTATGGATAGTTATATTCAGTATTCGCATCGAAGCAGTTTTTGAACTTGAGGATTACATCCAAGCAAACATGTACATAGACATAATTAAATTGTTAAACTGTCAATTATCGTCTTGATATTCATTTTTACGGTGATATCATTAGCGAAGATACAGGAGTACGAAACATCTTGGACTAAATAGAGAATGAAACAGTTAAATTAAAGCAGACATTTAATGGTAACACGAACATCACTGAAGAAATAATGGATGCATTCACTGGATTTATTCATAACTTGAGGATTCGTGTTGGTAACAAAACAACGGTAAGCGACAGAGATGCTAAGTTTTATGTTTTCATTGAGTAGGACATAGTGGTGGGGTTTGAGCACTGCCGTTATCAAATTTGTGAAACAAACTGACCAATCACTTTCTACACGTATTCCATGCCTTGAATTTTTCGTGTTCAGAAGGTGTAAGACTTAGTGCTCTTTTTTCTTACTATTTTAATATTATGAGGGAGAGAAAGTTGGCACCATAAACTGAGTGTAAACACGTTGCAATAAGTAAAAAAACGGGAAGTGTATGATAAAATGTTAGTCACCATTTGCACTATCAACATTCATTGGGATGCAGATAAGTATCGTATGGTGAACTGAAAATTTGAAAATTCGCAGATTCTAGAAAACCATATCTTACTACCCTATGAGTTACTCATTTTGCATTTGCATGCTAAGCCGATACTGAGAGCTTTCTAGTATAAAGTAGCAATTGGTGTAAACTCTATGCTTCATATAATCCTTCCGTAGGGATATAGAAAAGCCACTGACTACTCTCTCTTCACAGGAATGGTGATAGTTTTCTAGTGCTCCTATCACCTTTGTAGTTCTCGATAGAATTCATCACAAGTATGTGGGCACATGTTTTGGTAGGTCCTATATGATAAAAAGTACCAGATCTTTTTGTCCCCACTTTAGTTTTACAGCTACATAATGCATTTTATTAGTCAATACGTTTTACAAATGGCATTTCATTCAACCCTAAGCGACTGTTGTGTACTTTTACGAAGATGAATTTATGTAAGAATGCTGACATAATTGCCAACAGGCAGGCCTTCACTTTCGCATGCAATTTTCTTTGTAGATGGCCTTGTCGAATAAGGCAAAGGCAGGTAAAGAATTTGATCAAAATAAAGGTGCACATCATGATGAGAATGAGGAGGACCGAACAACATCAGAAGTGGACAAAAATACAACGGACATACAACCGATTTCAGATCAGAGTGGCACTGACATTAGTTTGGTCGCAAATACATTCGCACATCTGTTAGATGAATCCATTTTAAAATTCTTATATGAAGCAACAAGCCAACAGCTTGGACGATCAGGATCCCTAAATTTATTTGAATTACCAGCATACATTGAAGGTTAGCTCACTGGAATACTCTTTTCCGAAAACAGAATTACTTATATTTGTATCTTTATCTGTTGAGCAGAGGTATATTCAGTATTGACAACTCTTTCTGCCAACCATTTTGACGTACAATAGACGTCATACACCAAGTTGACTCTTCCACTCAACTCGGATGCAATTTCTGAACAAAAACTATGCATATCATTCAATAACAGTTCAAATGAGTGTTTGTCATCCTTATAATGCTGACCATCATATTGTAGCGTTCTGTTTACCTCCATAAAATAGTATAAAGTAGTTTTTCTGAACGTGTTGCATATATGTGTAACACATTTTGAATAATCTAATCAAGCACACTTACCTTAGATATTTATGAAAGATGATAAAGTAGTTTACAAATGCAAAAGTGGGAAAAGATCAAAGGAGAAGGCTCATCTAAAAGGCAAAATAAACTAAAAGGAACATAATAGTGCAATTTCCTTGAATACGTAGCCAATTTTAACAAGGAAGGTTTATTGCGATGAAAAAGTGTGTACACAAAGGTGGCTAAGTTTTCCTCTGGCTAAAACCTTGATACATCTGACAATACACCCTTAACATCTTCCTTAAATACGTTTAAGTGATGTACAGATATTTATTTTGTAGCCTGTCTGAATGCTGTGATCCATGATGGAAAAGCCTGTACTTTTCTTACCAGCACTGATAGGGTAAAGTGATTCAGTCTACCTTTATAACCATTTGTGGATGTGTTCCGATTCTCTTACTTGTCAGGGTTGATGAGTCGTCTATATGTATGTGACCACATTTACACTAAAGTTGATAGATAAGGTGGGATGTGACATCATCATTTGTATGTTGTATAGGCTTAAAAGGATACATAGGCTTCGTGTTTTCATTGATAATGATCCTAGCTACATACCAGTATCAAGCCTGTGTTTGAGCCTCAAGGCGCGATAGTCACTCTTTATAACGGTTTATTTTTTGACTTAAACTGAAATATACGAAAGGCTCCAAAACAAACATCCAAATCCTCCACTACGCTAACGTTTTATCATTTGACAGAAAATAACCAAATATTATCTTCTAGTTCAAGAAGAGTCCTCCAAGCCACAATGGAAATTTACAGCCTATCATGCAGAGAGAAATTTGGAAAGAATAACACTGGCGAATTTAACAGGGAATGATGATGACAGCGTGCGACCATTCGATTACAGTCGTCAATGCAGGACACTGGATTCTAAATGAAGAAAGCAATGGTAATCCAGAAGTCGCAGATTCATGGATCATTGTTTCGTTTTATTTTATTCACTCCTATACTTCTTCCAACTTAATTCCACTTCGTTCAAAACTACGCTTTACATACGCAAATATATCCAGGCCACCTCAGTCAATGAAAACTCACAGTCTCACTGACCGAGTTGCCTTCTTTGACTGATACTCTATATCTAACCTAAACATTGTAGATATGCTGTTCTTAACAAGGGCGAGAAATATCGGGGAGTTACTTATTATGGCTAACTCCGATTTCCTGCTTTCGAAGGTACCTCTTCATAGAAGAAAGGGACTAAGCGGGCTGGGATGCACTATTTCGGTTCTCTACCTTTCTACTCGGATATTTCATTTGCTGAGGAAATGGAAAATTCGGAAATGGCTAAAAGGAGGTGTTTATTACCAGTGCATTTGAGGTATATTACGCTGGAGACTACATAATACTGTATTCCATGGTCTATATGTCTCACAAAATTCGCCTTTTTATTTGGCCTTATTGCTATCTGGTAAGCTGTATCACAGTCTTGAGTTTAGCATCGATGTAACTCACTACATCTAAAAAAGACTATTATAACTAAGGCCAAACCTTGGACATTGTAGAAAATTGTATTGTGTATTGAATATTTTGACTAATCTACAGGAAACAGCTGACCTAGGTACTGTTGCTTGCAGTTACTACATCACATTTAATAAGCTCACATTTCTGGTAAGGACGCCGAACAACACCGGTTCAAGTTTTAAGCCCATTAATGTTTTTCTTTGCTCGGAAAACAATGTCTAATCATACACCTTCATTTATCCCCAGAAATACAAACCTCTACGAGGTCGGACAGTCGGATTACTAGTCATCAACTCTCAAAAGATGATTACTTTTTAGTGAACTTCAGTAGAAATGCAACTAGTACGACAACAGTGTTCACATCAGGCTTATTCGAAGAGTATAAGGCTTCCTTATTTTAGCTGGGATGGTTATGTACATGAGATGAAGTTACCTCATTGGTGTTTGTACTACATGTTGAAGTGGCCTTTACAGTCACTTGTATTAGTTATCCCATGCAGCGTGTAAACTACCAGAAAATTAATACATATTCTAAAAGTTCACACTGCAATCAACTGACTGTAAATTGTATATTATCTACCGTTAATCTTGTAAAATGCATCATATTAGCTTATAATGACTTGAAAAGTCACCCTAGTAATGACTGAAATAGCCAAATAAGTGCCTTTATTCTCGGTCGTAACGACTGTTTTTGCATAAAATACTGAAGTGCTATTGATTGTTTCATAGGTCATTGAGGTGGCTCTTTTAGTCACTCAATACCTTAGATAGATATGCAAAAAATAAATGAGTAAAGCAGCAACCGTGCATGGCACAGAATCTGTTAACTTCATTAACATTTCATTTTCACTAGGAAGAATCTGAAAAAATCCTACTTTCTACGATGGTTTATTAGACAGATAGTGAATGATTATCTCCGACTGACTATAAAGGTCAGCTTAATAAGTACTAAAATAACCAGTTAAGTTTCTGTGTCATATAAAACACTAATCTTGCAGTCAAAATGTAGATATCCAAATGATCACTTAGGTGGTTGTTAGAGTGACCTTTACTGTCACTCGTTTTAGAAAGTAGAAATGATAGGTCAATCATTTTTGTCCTAATTTTAGCCGTCAATTCTAAGCCGGCTTCCTATTTGGAGACTGATAATGTGGCGTGTCAGCCAAAACTGAGGCAGAGAAAATATTTCTGAGCTTGTGACCTAGCGAGTAAAGTTGTGGATATGTTAATATTAACCACAGCGATGAATATTAGCAGTCTTCCAACATCCTTTAACTAGATGGTTGTTCACATGCCTAGACATTATTTTGGACTGATTTAAATGTCCCATTTTGAACTTAAGAATAAGCAATCGAATTCTTGCATTCAACCTTGAAATCCACTTTTTCATAAAATGGGAAAAAAACCAATTGGGATTTTCAACAGTTGTTAGGATGGCCCTGGAAAAATCCATTTTTGCTGTGCCTGTTTTAAAAAACGAGAGTATGAAATCATTTGACTCTAAAGGTCATTCCTAAAACTGCTAAGACAAACAATTATCTTCCTTTATGTTATGAAAAACGACCCTTATATCTGATTGGTTGTTTCTGGAGTTGGCGAGATGACCTTTAAAGTCATATTTCTAAACATCTATTTCAATTAAGTGAGAACTAAATATATGCACCTTTTTGTTTAAAATCAGTACAAGGAAGCGATCATGTTTTTTTTGACTTATTTGCTTCCTTTAAAGACTCCTCAACATTCTTCATGATTAAAATTTGCTTTGGGTGATATTTAGCTGTTGAATGCGTGATGAACAATTTGTTACTTTTGAGACCTTCAGATAGGCACATAGCCGTGTATTGATTTTCTAATTAATAATTTAACTCAGCACATATCGCTACAAATATCAGAGCATTTCCACTGTACAAGTGAAATATGACGCCCACTATTTGCTTACAGTGTATCAGATTCTTATTTCGACTCTAGAATCAGCTGTTAGTGGTTTACACAACTGGAAAACACTCCAATTATGATGCAGTGGTGTTAGGTTCAAGTCTCAATCAGAAAATCAACATTGCAAAGCACGTACTTCCAAGCTGAGAGTCATAAGTAATACGAAATATGTTCTATGAATTCCTCGGCTACAAACAATCAACTACAAGTAATATTTGATGCCACTACGGCATTTTTAGAAGAAATTTATATACCGACATAGCTTGGCTAATTCAATTCTGTAGGTTATCTATGCAGAAGATCAAAGTTCCAATGTAGGTGATGAAACAGAACTTTCACACGAAAAGGAAATATTACAACAATAGAAATATGAATCTGAACTTGATAGTCACATCAGCCAACTCAAATTTTAAAAATCCTTTACCATCAACATCACTGAAGCAGATTAAGGTATATACATCAGTTTGTTAAGTCATGTGTTGTATCATATGACAGCGTTTCATGCTTGCATCATGTTAAGCGTGATAATCAAGTATATTCTAGTTTTTCACAATTCATTATTTTGAATAGGATTATACTTGAAGAAACTGGTTTACACGCAACCTACATTTTATTTTAAAATATATTAGTTTCTTATGGGGATTGATTAGGTCATGAACTGTCACTTGAAGAATCCTTTATATTTTGCGAGCTCTAAACATCTGCTTTATCCTAGTTTGAGATTCTTTGTCATTGCTCACCAGTGACAACATCGTGGATTGTTCCCAGACCGTTATTTCTTCTTGTAAATACCTTACCACTCGGTTAATGTGTTGGAGCCAAACGGTCCACTTTTCACACTTCCATGCATTCGAGAAATGCAGCCATCGTCAAGTGTGTACAATAGGCCTTCTTCTTCAAACCCCACTTAACTGGCCTTTCAGGTCATGGCTTCTCAACATATCTATAGGAAGCAAACACTAAAATGAATCACTTATTGGGACTGGATTGCATTTTTTTTGGATTTAGTGGGAATTCGTCTTTTTTTGAGTAGTAGAAGTGCAATGTTGAAGATTCCTAAATTGGGACATAACATCTGTCCAATTCTTTCATGTTTTCAGTGGTTCTCTAGCTGACTTCAAGACAAGATAGAACTATGTGTCTATTTACCATGAGTGGGTTATTCTTCTAGCTTATAAAATTGGTTTTCTATGAAATCGTTTATGACTGAATGGCACAGAACAGCCTATATTAGTACACAAGTTCAACAACACAAAGTAGAAGTTGACTGAAGCCAAAATATATTTAAGTAATGAAGGATGAAGAACTAAAGGGTGAACGAGAAGACGAGTAAGGAGTATAAACTTATCCAAAGTGAATCCCTGTTAGGGAAAGCACTATTCTAGCATCATCGACACATCTTTAAGACTCCTTGGATCATAGTTCATATAAATGGGGTATTATATTATAAGGTTGTTCGTGAACCTTACTGATAAATATCAATGTACCCGAAATCTCTTTCAACCATGTTCATCCCTTTGACTGAAGCGCAGCATCTGGTTACTCACTTAGTAATTATTTTGAGAATATGATAAGCAGACTGCAATTAGCTCTTAAATTTTCATAGTTATATTGCTTATGCACCAGTAAATCCTTCCGGTACATTCATAATTGATTGAACGCTTTCTGCTTCATAAATAATCGCTTAATTTTCGATTGCTTACTACTTTTAATCCATAGGTCCCCTACAGAACAACAAATCTCTTATTCCGACTCAGCAGATGATGCAGCAGTGCATCAAGAAAATGTAAGTTGCTATGAAAGTATTTTTTGAGATAAACTGTAGAATAACTGTAGTCGCGTAAGCAGTACCTGATATTTTAGACGAAATCCTCTATAAACTATAGTTAAATTGTGTCACAGACGATCAGTGCAACACTTTAACAAACCACTTGAAACGGTCAACATTGATTCATCTCACAGATGACTCATTTAATTATAGATAAATGAAACTGGGATGTGGGCAGTAAATACACTGGAAATTGTATAGTTTAAATTAGATTTATATTTCTGTGACGGGGAAATATTTCAAGCTAATGGCATATGGTGTACGAGAAGGCATCCAAAAAGTCTATCAGTAATTTCTTTGGCTATCTCAGCACAATTAGAACAATGAGTAGCCTGTGGAATAATCCACAAAAAGACAATAAACAGTAAATACTGAGACATACTTTCACAGGATGAAGGGTTAAAGTTTAAGAAACTACTCTTGTAGAGGTTCAGGACCTCAACTCGAAAGCACAAAGTATACCACCTGAGGTTCGCAAACTAGTTGTAAACATGATGCAACTAGGGAAAAAAAATTGCAGTGAAGCAGCAGGTATTATTTGCCAAAAATATGATGGATCATATTAACTGTATTATAATACACAACATGACCACCATTTGTCAACAATCTCTTGTTCTGAATCCCATTCCTGTCGGTTATCGCCCTTTATATTCCAGCCCAACATTGTGTGTTCTCTTCACCAGATTCTCCACCAGTTGATAGTTGTCACTACCGAATTCGATACATATACTACTTATGTGTTCTTATTAGTAGGTCTTACCTCGCTAGTAATAAGTCAACATGTTGGGTCTCAAGTTGAGTGTCTTCAGGTGCAGTGGCCATGCCCTGTAACTCAAACAGCTGTAACTACCACTGACACTGTAATAATCAGATATAATCTATGCTGTCAAAGACTGCTTAACCTCAGATATATGTGTACAATATAAAAAGTCTTTCGAACAGGTGATCCTTGCGAAGTATACGTACATATACTGTAGAAACAAAGAAATGAGCATGCGTACCTATTTACAAAAACTCCTGGTGTATACACTTCTTAGCATATTGTCTCTTTTGATAAATCTAAAGGAGGATGCAAAAAGCAGAGGTATAGGTTCCTTCAGTCAGCAAAATGTTCACAGCAATTTATGATGAAAGACACTGTTGATAACTCTATCACTAGAGGACTAAACTATTCATTTAAATAAGCTTCATGTCGTGATATCGTAAAGTATTACTATTTGGGGTAACTCCACAGTTTTATTCTGTTTCTAAACACATGCAACAATTTTTCTTCTCGCTCGAAAGCATACTGCCACAATTTTCTTTCAATTACCTTTGAAATAACGGCCACTTAAAGACAATTTAAGTTTCCTGTCATGCTATGATCACCAATTTCTGTTGCGCTAAACAGCGCTGGCCTATGTTTTCTGTACATCTCATCTTAACACTGAATTACTGAGTTCGAGTCATGTCTTTATTCCGTTGAACTGCTTTGTTTGTTAGTGTTCACCAACCATAGCTAACAGCAAATGTCTAAAAGAGAAAGCAACTGGAATTTCTGACTGAAGTTGCAGACCTACTTGGGGCTAATACTATCCTAGTGGACTGCTTACACTCACATTAATGTGATTATGAGAAATGACTTATGCTCAAAATGTCATCAAGTAAATAATACTAGATCACTGTGTGTTATAAATCAAATAAGCAATCTAATATGGAATTAAATTCTACATAGTGCCCAAGTTTTACACCTACACTAATGCTTGCACAACGACTATTTTTAAATGACTAAAAACTAGCAGATGTTAGTTGCTACACCTTACATACGCAGTATAAATCCAGCTACTGGGTCAATTCTAAGACATCACTGGACGTTTAAATCTTATGTTAGCGAAATAAGCAAACTGACATTTTTGAGATGTTTGTTTATCTGTATTCTTTAAGTTATCCGATTCAGGCATAGATTCGAAAATATATCCTGTTAAAAATAACAATAAAACTTGTGATTCCTGCATTCATTTATGTTTTATCTTTAATCTAGATCTGCAATACTCCTTTGGATTTAGTCAGCCCGGAAGTAAATGACTATAAAAGACTTTCTAAGGATGGAAAGTAGGAGAAGATGTCAAAATTAAGATGCTGCAGGCAAACGATTTAAAACGTGTTCAAGGAGATGAAAATGCCTCTGAAAGTCTCTGTCAGAAAACGAGCAAATTTGGTGTTGGAACTCAAGGGGCCTTTCGAGTTGCATGGTCAGATATGCCTGAAGTAAGTTGAGCTTTATAAGGTGATAGAGTCGGGATAAAAATTATTTGTTTCTTGGTGTTATTTATGATGAAGTAAATAACTAATATTAGATGACAGAAACAATATTCTGGGGGAAAAAAATGAAATGAAGGTAAGAAAGCTTCTTTTCAGATACATGAAATAATAATTAAACTATGTCACAGACAGTCTGTCTGATGTATTTTAACTGGCAGCATGTAGAGAACACAACCTGAAGTAAATGACTATAAATGTAACGTTCTGTTGAAGTAACTGTTTAACGAGATAAAAATAAATATTTTGGAAATAGAATAGGATTTGTCACTTAATCAGATAACGTGATATATTTTACTCAACAGTTATAAACAAACTTAAATATAGTGTTTAGATAAACTGAAGACAGCCAGCTAAGTTCGAAACTGTTACTTAACTAAATTATGAAAAGTTGACTTCTTGAAGTTACTGTATATTGCTGTCTCGTGGAACTGTTCATTTGACTTTTCACAAACATAACTTTAGGGGGACATTGTCCACGTACCGCCGGTTCCAGGGTCCCGGCATCTCTTTTAAAATAAGAGCACTTAAATATTATGCTGATATCAGTAATCAAATAAACAGTAGTAATGAAATGGTCCTAATGAAACACCCTCTTGATTATAAATGGTGCGGAAAAAGGTGCTCGTGTCGAAAGATCAAAACATGATGACGTAAATGAAGTTGGATCGTGGTCATCACTGGTAAAACTGAAGCCATGTTTATTCAGTCGTCATTACGTTGGATATCAACACTATACTTGTTCAGTTACTAAGTCTCCACATCGATGCACTGCATAACTTACTCGAACAACTAGTTAATTCTAAGGATGGATTTTAACTGACAGTGATATCCGGAACCACATTTCCCCCTATCAGGGACCTGTCAGGTGAATTTTCCTGCATCCCGGTGAGTGTGTACGTGCCCAGTGAGACCCAAACAAGGCACCCATCACTTCAAATGTGAGAATATTATTTCTTAAGCTAAAGAGCCATGATAACCTTCTATTGTGCAAAATGAAGTTCCTGGCTATATCACAGCATCCACTCATATTACCAACAAAGATTGGTCAAACCGCGCAGGTCAATCAACTAGAAACAACACTTCTGAATATTAAAAGTCACCCATCTCACAAAGAGTGAACATCACAACGTAGTACCCCAGTGGATAACGCTGCAGCATATAAAGCGGAAGGTTCTAAGTTCAGGCCTTATTTGAAACACTCTCACTGACCAGGATGTAGGTCCGTTTGGCTAATGAGTCCTGAATAGGACGAAACTTGGGTCACACCTTCCACAGCTAGCCATTGTCCATTTCTTAGATCTAAACGAAACCACCGACAATAATGTGGTATCTGATATGCCAACAAAAGCCGATCAATTTGTTCCAAACAAGTGATAATTTCAAACTCGTAGGTGTGCATGAAAGTTTCAAACTCTGTTGATTGTAAGTCTGTGGCAGCATCCTACACAGATCTCATCACATTACATCTCCCCAAAAATGTTGGAATACAGAGGGTCAGATAAACACTAAGGCAGCAGTAAATCTATTTGGCTGTTTCCTTTAGTACGTTTTTAAAGAGTTAGGCTCTTAGGTGCAGAACTCAGGCGTGTAGTTAGTGTGTGCATGAAAAATTTACGAATCGAGTAGTTCATGTTGAATTTTTGAACTGCCTGATTTTCATAAAGAATCGCCTATACATATAATGCTCAAAGTAAACTCTGCATTGATTAATATACGGTTTTATTATAGAATTTTTTAAAATATGCATCTCCATGTAGCATTTGTATAAGTTTCATTCCAAGTTGTTGTCATCAGAATACCGAGGAATGGTGTGCTTGAGTTTAATAACGAGAGATGGTTGATCGACATAACACCGGAGGTGGTCTCTTACGGTGGTTAGAGCTATATCTAATTCTGAATATGGTATAACTCATGCAGTTCCAAATTGTATTTATTATTTACTAACTGATAATGAACATTTGCTTAACAATTTATGTGCACCTTCCTAATCCTTACACATATTTGATTTCATAACATAGGTTATAGAAAGCACTTGCCTTCAGCGCCTAACTCGACATGAAATTCAGTTACAAGAAGTAAGTCAAGTCTTTGAGAGGATTAGACTGTTATCGTAAACGTAACTTTTCTCCATTCATCCTGTCAGGAATATGATGTGACTACTATGAATTCATAACCTATAACTAAATATATCCATTTATGCATATATATATATATATATATATATATATATATATATTTATAGTGTTACACCTTATTCAACATTATAAGGCACAAATATGCACCTTCAAAAGCTGACTGTAAATTATCCGTTAGTCATTTAATTTATTCCATAAAATGTAAGAAAATGCTGTTGGAAACACCGTTTTTAAATAAAAGTCAGAAGTATAGTGAATGTACGACTGGCCTGTACTTTCTTCCCTCGTCATTTGTAGTGAATGTGTAACCATGAGGAGAGGTTTGAATATTACCATTGAGAAATAAAAGAAAGACTTAGATGAATGAACATCTTCCTGACGATATTATTTCTAAAGTAGTGTGATTGGATTTCAATATATTTGATGCTTGCATCGAACAGTAAGGAATGTCAACATGTTTGTGCAGCGTGTTGCTACAACTTTTATCACTGCGGAAACTATATTTGTAACTGAAAAAATCACTCTTATAAGTCTGTTTTCAGTGATATGTTGGTTTAAACAGTTGTTTTGCATTTTCCTGTGAATCGTCTTAGGTTGCTATCATGAACATTGACTGCAGTAATGCAGTATATCATGCTTATTGGATTTAACTCACTTTTGCATCTGTGAAAGTAAATATCCGTCAGTTTATTCTCTCAATGATAAATAGGTTCAAGTAGTAAGAATAGAATAATTCAATCTTGATTTTCCAATTTTGAACGTTTTCAGTTAAGGAATTTGTTGCTTACGTAGATTATTGTCAAAGTCGAATTTATTCGCCCACACTTCAGTCGTTATTTGTGTGTAGAAAGCAGGTGAACATTTCTCAAAGTTCGTGTTACATTGAAATCAGTTAACATATCCTCTTAAAACTGGGATTACCAGTTGATTGATTTGATCGTACTATATATATATATATATATATATATATATATATATATATATATATTATCGACTGTTATATTTGAACATACATGGTATGTTTGGTTATAATGAGAAATTGGTTGTGGAATCCTTAGTGAAAACTAATTGATGGCAGAAATATGCTTTTCATAATTGAATCAACAACATATTGGCCACTACTCTGAATCATTTAAATTAAAATTCTCATAATAAGCTGATGCCTGCTCGACCAACCAATTTAGGAATATTAAACTAAGGTGGCGGGGGGACATGTGCTTCATATCAAGGCATCTGTTTATATCTTCTCTACAAACCTAAATTTCCTGTGAGTGTAAACTGATGAAAAATATAATCAGAAGATGCAATCATCATCAAGTGCTTCTTGGTTTTGTTGAGTCTTATGTTTGAATTCAGTTCATGATAAAGATAACTTTCAGTTTAGGGACTTCACTTTCAGAAGTAAGTTTCTTCATTTCTTAAAAAAGAAGCTGTAACCAAGAAATTATCAGTAGCATGAAATTCTAGCTGTGCTATCCCATGAAAGTGATTAAGATGAAGGCCTAATCGACTAAGTAGTCTTCAACGTAAAAGCTAAAAATAAAACACTTGACATACATCTAATACATTTTAATTCAGCTTGAGATAGAATATATAATACTTTTCGTTAGGTATTCGACCAGATTGCATCCAAACCTTTCAGTAAGGTATAGTTTCTATGAATTGTCGGTGAAAATCTATTTATGGACTATTGACCATTTACTGGGTCAGTACTGACTATGAAAATATTCCTACCGTGGTTATTATGTCGGTCAATGGAGAACCAACTTTGATTTTAGTGAAGATAATTACTTGTACAGACTGTAACTGATCAAATTCTTCCCGTTTCTTCATATCTAGGCTATGTTTGAAGTAATTACATCAGAAGCATCATACTATCAAAGTTTAAATGTTTTAGTCAATCATTTTTATCATGCACCCGAATTCGAATGTGAACCACTGAACCATACATCTGTTCAAACAAATCAAGTGCCTAATAAAGTGTGCAAAGATCCTGGTTCACCTATGTCGTGTGGTGTAGGACAACAGGACTTCATCAGTTTCAGCAGTCAAACAACCACTGATCCGAATGCAGCATCAGCAACAACTGGAACAGTTACAAACAACGCCAGCAGCAATACTGCTAACAACACTACTGCTAATAGTAATAATGCTGATTCTTCAGACTTCTGTTTAGATACTGGTAATCAAACACCTGCATGCAATACACGACGCCCGTTACTTAAACCACTGGAAAAACACCATCTGTTTTCAAATGTACTGCTTGTATGTTTAGCCAGTGAAATGTAAGTGGTTATTGTATACATTATGAATTTTCTGTAAGGGACTGTAATTTGAGGATAACTGTATGTGTGTATATTTTTCCATGTAACTGTAAGATAAATGAATAATAGCCATGAGTAATTCTGATGAATTTTACGTCTAGTTTATGATTAAATATCGCAGCTCGGTTGATAGAACGCTGACGTCTAATAAACAGAGGACTTTTGGTTCTAATTCTGTTACGAATGAGTCTTTCAACCGCACATGAAAATGGTACTACATGGATGGTTGGAGTTAATTAAATTTTAAACCAAACTGAGTTATTATCAACGGCATTCATATGTATGTCCATGATAACTGGGTTGCAGGTTATGTGGTTTGAAATAGTAACAATAATAACAATAATATAGGTGGTAGTATTAGTAATCTAGGAAATGATGAAAATTATCAAAAATACATGCTATAGGTGTAGCCATTTAAATAATCGAAGTCAACAAAACACACAAGAACAAAAGTTAAGTAACACTTATGTATGAGAGTGGGAGACAGTCTGTATCTGAATACATGTAATGAGTACATAAAAGGAGTGAAGTAGCAAAACTTTACTACAGCGTTAGCTAGGTAAGTCTTGACCGTTCAAGGCAGAGGTAAGGGTTGCGCAAACTGCTTTATTAACAAAGTGGTTAGGCTCATCAACTCGATTCCTGTTAACCTCAGTAATGTACGAAATATAACTTCAAACCTCATTCAAAACTTTTAGTGGTATATGATAAATAACTCTCATTTTATTTATATTGTCAACTGTTTAACTGATATGAACCGAATGTGAAAAATAAGAGCTTCCTATCGACTTTAATTATCCCCTTCCTAGCCTCCAGGGTAGATGCTGAAAGTGTTTCTTGGTCCATTTAGCTAAATAGAAAAATACTAGCCATCAAACTAGAATTTCTCTCTTTTTAACCTAGAAAGTCATTAACAAAGCTTGCTGATGATTTGCAGAAATTTCTGGATTTTAGTGGTTATTCTAACTGAAGTTACTTCATGGAGAACATTGATTGGTTAACTAACACTAACCCATTTCACTTATTGCACATCTATATGTTGGTTGAATTCTATCGATGAAGCTTGTAATTAAATCACCAAGCAAGGAGACAACACTGGGATCCACTTTGACTTCTGTTAAGTAGTTGAAGGCTGTAGACAGAAAGTTCATATAGGCCTTACTGATGAGTGTCAACAAGCAGATAATGTAGATCTACAGCTTTTGCTTATTATGTCCAACTACGTAATATAGAACAAATGGTTCAAAGACACACGACTTTCCAGCTTAACGACCACAGTGAAAAGTGACAGATGGGATTATTTTAACATGTAGTGTCAGGAGAACTGAAATCGGTTACAGTCTAATGAGCAACCTACGTTCACCATCCAGTCGTATAAGAGGTAAATTATGACTAGGATAGTTTGTCGATAGCACGTCTTATTGAAGCTCTGGATGACACTGATTCGGATCTCTGTGAAGACATCAGTTCCGTGAAGGCTAATGACACGCCTAGATGACTAGTGTTAGCAACCACCTTACATATATCACTGAGCTTCTTAAAGCAACCATGTGCATTGTATAATATTTTTATGCTTATATTTTTATATCTTCATAATCAGCCACCAGTATCACTATTTTGTTACTTGTTAAACAGATACATTAGGCAACCTTTGCATACTTTACTGATTTCGGTATAACTTTATCGAAGTGAAAGAAACATTAGATTCATATGAGTATCAGAGATAAAGTGTGATTCTACAGTTCTTTGATGATAAATGAAATATATTTTGTAAAACCCAATGAAGTAGAAGAATAAATTTCTGACATTTAGCGACTTCGTGGAAATCGCTTCTTCAAAGAATATTCTCTGAAGTCTCGAAACGTCAGAAATTTATTTTTCTACTTCATTGGGATCTTACAAAATATATTTCATTTATGATCCAATTACCCAATGCTCAACTTATTCAACTCTTTCGGGTCAAATTTGATCCTGAAGTTTGCAAAAGTTCTTTGATAGGTTTGAATTAGACGAGAAAGAGTAAACGCTCTAGAGTAATAGATGTTCTTTAATTAAGTAATCTGAATACAACTGCGTCTATCTGAACAGGAACGAAACACTACTTTGTGCTGAGAAAATATAATTCTTATATATATATATCTGTGTCGCAGTCATTACACTCCGCGGATGGTTGCTTCTTTTTTTATTCCTCAATAAGTTCTCTGAAACTGTCTCTATTTTTTTCGAAAACATTTGCACTATGGTAGGCGATATAAGTTAAAGTACTGTTCCTATCCATGAAATTTGGCTACAAGTAACTGCTTTCATCGCCCCACTCGTCAGTAACTTTACAATTTAATCCAGTGTAAGGAGTATTTTGAATGTCGTCGTCGACAATTTCATGTTTGTTTTAAATATAAAATCAAAATATCTCACCCAAAAAAATTCTCAGCATGATAAAAGTCAATTAAATAGTCATGTATGAGTCTGGACAGTTAGCTGTGAGGACTAATGTCATCACCTGGTCGCCAAAACTTTACTCAGATAAGTAGCATTCATGCCCATGACGTACTGTCCGAAAGTCATGAAGCCTTCATTGTTATTCTAGACAATGTCATCAACACAAACGTCAGAAAGAGATGGACTAGTAGCTTGTAGTGATGACCCTGAGTGTAACTGATTGTTCCTGCTAAAATCTTATCATTGTCTCCATGCATATTTAGATTGGCTATCCTGCTAAAGTGAACTTTGACCTTTATGTTTCTTATTCGCTGACAGGTTGGATCAATTCATGCCCACGATTTCCGATATGTATTGATATTAATGAATATATATCATGACACTTTAATGCTAGCTGATGGTGACGTAAACGGATAAGAAGAGGGAAGTTATATCTAGAAGGAGAATGAAAGCTTTACGACTAGATCACCCAGCTCAGAAAACAAAGTAAACAAAATCACCTTCTTAAGCTACAAATATTCTCTATCACCCAAGAGTGCCTGGTTGCTTTTAATGCAATTGACTGCATTGACTTCTGAACTAATATAACTGTGTAGGCATGGGTTAGTTTGTCTAGGGAACATTTAGATATGGGTATGGTCTGAGAGAGAATTACAACACAGATGTCTTGAATAAACTCGGTAGACATGTCGTACTCCAGTGTCGATATGATTAATCCATGACTGGTCTACAGGTTGTACAGATATAGGTTTGAAGGTTTCCTTTTAAATAAATTTTCACATTCGTTAATTTAAATTATCCAACTGTGTACGACACTATCAAACACAATAAACTCATTTTCCAACTACTAGGTTTTTACGTGACCTTGAGGCTAGATGGGAATCTAGAATGCCAATTTTAAATGAAGTCTGCGACTTAATTGTCAAGCATGCCGGCGGTGTAAACTTTGAACCATACATCACTTATCTTCGGAATCAAACTTATCAAATGGCTACTCTAAGAAAATTATGGTAAGTCGAAACTTGTTACAAATGAAAATGTTCTTTAAATGAAACTTTGTCTACGACTTATGACTTCCAAGGCCATGGCAATCGACGTTAGGCTAGCAGTTACTGGCTTGGTTGACTTGGTGGTAATAGAGTCTTTTCAGTGTCCCATCTTGCATTATCTTCGATTCATATGGAAACAGGAGATGAAAAGTAAGAAGAAAAATGGTATCAAGTTTAAGGACACAGCTACTACAAGTTAGTAAAACTATACTGTTCACATTAGTATTTAAAATTAGAGTTGACTTCAGGTTTGCACATCTCTCACCATTTTCATGCAAACCATAAAACTGAAGGGATACTACAGGGGTGATAGTTGTTTGCTGTTTGCACGAACCTAGATAAAATTGATTTTCGGACAAATGTTGCATACAAACGATGCTTAGATAATTCTGAGAGAACTCGCTTACTAATATAATATACGATCTGTTATGAGAGGAAGCAGCAAAATGATTCCTAAGTCGTCAAAAATGACAGAAGGTAAGGTTTCCAAAGCGAAACAAATGTTGAGTTTACTCTTATCTCTATCTGAACTTCCAGTTTTAAACCGTATGATATTGTTTGGTATGTATTTCATAGGAGGATATACATGGTCGGTATTCTCAGTATGCAAACATAATATTCCGTTTGGTCAATAAGACTTTCAAATTTCAGAAGGAAAGGATGATGAATGACTAGTCTATACAGAAACCAGTTAGTCAGCTGTCGATCTTCAGTTACATTTTTGTTAACTGCTAATCGTGTGTACTCTTATGTTAAAAACGTTATCGATAGAGGGACTATTTTTATGAATTGATGAGTGACTTTCAGGGAGACTTGAAAGTCCACCCTAACAAAGGTCTAAATAAATATTTCTTCTTTTTAGCTGGAAAGGCAGATTTTCATAAAATAGAAAAGTATGGTTGGTCATTTTAGCTGTTGTTAAGGTTGCTCCTGAAGTCCCCAGAAGTGATAGGCATAGGCCTTAACAACGAAGGATTCTCTTTTCTGGTAATAGCGAAGTGAGTGCCTTTCGTCATCTTATTGGGCTTGGTAATTATATACACTTAGGCACACGATTACGGTAATCAACTCACCTTGTAGTATTTTCCATCTACCGATAGATTAGTAGAACGTTTTTACGTCAAGACAGTCTGTGAATAATAAGAATATTTGCTCACAAATCAAAAGCCTCATTGACGCAGGTGTAAAACTTGGGCACTGTTGTAGAATTTGATTCCATATTAGATTTGTTTATTTGATTTATAACACGTAGTGATACTGTATTGCTTACTTGGTGTCGTTTTGAACAATAATCATTTATTCTCGAAACGTCATCAAGTGTCATAAAGCTAAGCACTCTAATGTCTTAGTGAATATCATTTCACAGAAAAATGAATTCCAAGTAACCAGCAGCATCAACCTGAGGTTGTTAGTTGTCTGCTGCAAAGAATAAATAAGTGAGGTCCCATTTTAAATCTTCTCCCTTTTCAGTCACTCAAACGAGGTACACCATAATAACAGCATGCTTGTCATGAGGTACATTAGTTTCCATTTGTTTTTAACTGATGTAATTTCATGTCAAAATATTCCTTTTGTATAAATCAAATATAGGTTGAAAGCTTTCTTCATCCTTAGATTAGTCTATTCATTTCATTTTCAGCAAACGTGATAGCTTTCGTGCTGCATTAGAAAATCTACATGCACATCCTAGAAGTGGAAAAAATTTGATAACTTCCTTCTTAGCTCTTCCTATGCAACGTTTAACACGCTTAAAATTATTAGTTGAAGTTATTCGTCGACTACAGGATGCAGTTATTCGAGATTCTATGGACAAAACTTTAGAAAAACGTCCTTTTCGTGTACCAAGTGATAGGGAACGTGAAAATGTACAACTGGCACTCCGAGAATTAAATCGAGTGAGTTTAACTGTTAAGTTGACAGAGATTTTGATGATAATGAAAAGACATTCTTCTTACCCAGTCTGAATTGTCACATTATTCCAGATTGAGCAGTTTTAAATGTGATTCGCCTTTGGAGGAAGAACTACTGTCACTAATCTTTCAGTTGACTCACTGACATAAGGGTTTTTGGCAAGGAAAATGGTTCGGGAGTAACTACTGAGTTCTACTCAACTAGACATCAAGAATGTGGGTTTCATGCCAGTTGGTTCGCATCTAACAACCCTGAGAAAATATGTGTTCCACTGATGATTCCCACTTGTGACACCTGGAGACTTTTCCACTGAGTTAGTCAAATCTTGATTGCTCATTTTGTGATTCGACTACTTAGGTGAACTTAGCGCTTAGTTTTACCGATAACGCTTTCATTTTGGAAATAGCAGTCACAAAATATCTATTCATTTTTCAATATTGCCATATCATATTTCACACTGCATTGTTTTGTCATTTACATAAGACAAATTTCGAAACCAATCAACAGAGTTCAATCAGCCCTTCAAACTTAAAGATTACATCGAATAATATCAGTTGAGCAGTTCATTTAAATATTTTTGCAGCTGAATTTATCTTCGTAATCATCAACATGTTTGGACAGACGAAGTCATGCATGAACATCAAGCGCAGTAATGTAACATACCTTTTATCGATGAACATGAACAACTGTGAAAGTGAATTTGACTTTTAGAATATTGAAATCTTGGATATAGAAAGCATATAAATATCAGCGGATCTCTGGAAGTGTAGCGCAGACCAGCAAGTAATCTACAGGTGTGTTGACATGAACTCTAAAGCTTAAAACCTGCCATCATGTATAAGAATGTTGACAGCAGTTTCTTGTGTCCCCCGATTCGATCATACCATAAACAGCTTATGCTCTATACGATCTTTCTAACAGCTTTCACTTCAAACGATTCGTAATCGTCCTACGGAGATTTTACATCTTATTTTCACTAGCTGGCTCCATAATAACGTGTCTGTCTACTATATGTTTGTACTCTCATCACCTATACTTTCCAATATTTTCGGAAATTAGGAATAGTTTTGACAAGATTCTTCAAAATGAATAATTTCACTTGTCAACAACGAATATTTTTCAGTAACCACGAAGTCGAATATGTCGAATATAAATATTTTCGATAATATAATTTTAACCTTTGTTTAATTAATTACAGTGCTAGAATAAGAATAAATGTTCGTGAGATTTATTACTTTTTAGCAGTATTGAAATTAGAAAAAATCTTACGATGGTTTTGAATGAAAATTGAGATTTCACTCATATATATCTTTTATCGAATTATTCGCATTGATTGCCATCTCAACTGGTCAATGTAATTCACAAACTTTCAAGTATATTCACCTGGATTCCAGTTAGTGATGTCCTCAATTAAACACGAATGCAGCATTCACCACTTACAAAAGACGAAAGTTGAATTTGGTGTAACTGACAGAGAAATATTACAGCACCTGTAGATGGAGTCTATATGGTTGCCTAGGCCAACTGATTTCCATAGATGAGACCAGTAATTGGAAATTACAAAAAAGTCCAGAAAGTAAAAGTGAACTTTTTATAAGCAGTTAATACTATTTATTTTTATGATATATATAGTTACTACTAACAAATTGTGAGTAGCAACAGAAATATCAATAGACTTTTTTTAAACCTAGCTTTTAACCGCAAGTGAAACGGAGAAAGAATTAATGGATAGAAAATCGCGGCTCCTAACTTTATCTTCTTCTCTTGAATTTCCAGATAATGTTAAAGTAAGTGTTACTTTCCCTCGCATATTACGCCATGTATGTGTACATTGTTTTGTGCAATAATCAAGCACACAAACTGAAATGTAAAAGAAGTGAAAACTGATTTTTTGACAGGGGTTTACGAAAATGCCCATTTAAAATGTCCAAAACACCATACAATACATCTTAAGAATGTATAGAAAACGGTAGTTTATGCCATTAAAATTTGTTATATTACTATTGTACAACTGTATCACCACCTGTTTGTGTAACACAGAAGACTGACATGTAGCCGACCATGATTAACGGCGATTGATTAAATGGTATCTCTTTGTTGGTAGTCATGAACAACTTTTATCCCTTTACCAATCTAGTGATAGCGAGTCTTTCAGAAACAATCATTTGTGTTGTATAAGGTGGCAATCTGCAGCAAATAGAAAGCCTTATTGGAATTAATTTGAGTTCCATTAACATTGTGGCTTTTGATTGGATACATTAGTTTTTTTAAAGATGTGACAACGGAAAATACAAGTGTCAAAGTTTGAAGATAAAACCTGTGGGCATTTTTCCTTTGATTTTTGGATGAAAAGAGGCATTCAAGAGAAAAGCTTCTCTGACTCAAGTCTCATACATATTGGCATTTTTGGCAGGATACGTCTACAGTCTTTAGATTTCAAACATCCAGGACCTATTCATTGGTTCTAATCACATAGCACTGAAAAAGGTGGATAGCGCTGAGTAGCATCTCAGCTTCGTGATAACATTTCTAAGTTAAACCATAGATTCCGATCAGTAATCAAGTGCTAATAAAACATAATTGATTGCTCTCTCTGGACTTACAAATCAACAGTACTTTTCGTTAAGCCTATATTTTATTAACATACTTCTACTTTCATAATTTAGGTACTATTCTACACTTTTGATAAAGCATACTTAAAAAAAATAGTGGTGATACAGACATCAGTAAGGTAGAAAATAATGACACTGTCATAAATCAAAAGTGCGTAGCTTTCAGAATGCTGATTTACACTGAAGTAAGTATGAAAGTATAATTGTTTTCATATGATACCGCCGTATCATAGCCACGATCCATCATTAACATAAGTATGAAAGTGTTGCGTAGGACCTTCTAAAAAGTTATATTGCTATAACATTGAAACATAAAAACTTGTTAGGTGGCAAAATTTGTTCTCCAAAGCATCTCAGTAAGAGTGAGAAAGGGAGAGGTGTGGATCTAAAAAATCCCTTTTCAATTTTAGTGAGGTCGAATACATAGGTCGAAGTAGACGACGACGTTCATTTAAGTTATTTGAACATGATAAACCAAAGTAGGTCTGGATTGATAGACCCTATTAAGTTAAGGAATTTGACGAGAAGGTTTTTCATAACTTTGCATATGGTAACATACAAGAATACCGTTCTATGAGACAAAATCACAATATATGAAATAATCTTTCTGGGTGGATGGAGAGGTTACTGCGTGAATCCCAGTTAACCGAAGGAATGTTTCAGTGCTGGTTCCAGATATCTTGAAGATTTTACTGCTCACCAAAGCCAACAAAAAAAGGATTAAAATTATTGAATCCTAGAAATTTATGCGTTCACTGACGTACTGTTGTTCAAAAATAAGCTATGACCTAAACGTCGTTTGAAAAGCGACACGGCTTTAATATATAAAATGTCTAACAAGTAAACTACTTGGTCGGACTTCTTCACTTTTGTCTTCTTATCTCTGAATATTAACTTCCATCAGCCTCTATACATAACGACAAATATTTCCATTTATCTACAGCGGATAGCGATCAGTGATAAACGCCTCATTAAAGAAGGTGAACTGCGTGAAAACTTTTCAGATAGTGTACGATTATCGGTGTTACAAAAATTGGCTATTCGTAAACCAAATTTATTCTATTTAATCTTGTTCAATGATTTGTTATTGGTTACACGAAAGAAGAAGTAAGTTTCTCACTGTTGACGTTGTTTTATAGTTGTTTAGGTACTTAGAGTTTGTTTAGCATTCCTTCTCACTTGCTGTTGGTTTATACTTTATGCTCGTTTTTGCCAGTTGAGCGAATTTAGAAAGTTGATGCATCAGTAAATTCACCCAAGGAAAATATCTACTCACTACCAAGCAGATTTTATTCATCCTATGTAAGAAATGTCATTTTAAGCCTAGGAAACATAATGCAACTGGAAATTATAGGTATCTGCTCAATGCAGGCATAGTGGTGAATAATACTCAAGCATGGTCATTTATTTATTGTAATATATTATGGACCCGGTATAAGAGAAATGCATCGTATAGAATCATACAAAAAGGTTATGAAGACAGAGAAGACAGGGGGAAGAATTCAAATGACGATCAGTAAAGCAGAAAGAGCAGAATAAGTTATATATAAATACCTTTTTGTACTTTTGAAAGTTAAAGGCAAGCTAGAAATAGGTCAGTATTATAAATAGTTTCGATTCATGTCGTATTTCATGCTGTTGCAAGTCATTCAGTTGCACAGTCGCTTAAGCCCTACTGAATACGCCGATAACTTATAATGCAACGGAACAACCCTTCATCTTACAACGCTGCATCATAATGTAACTAACTCTTTGTTTTATCCGGAAATGTTTAGATCTCACGTGTAGCAATCAGTGAGAAAACTGCTGGGGATGCCTAGACATTCACCGAAACAATAATGATGTCTGTCGGAAGTGAGTATGAAATACACGATGTTTTTTCTGGGTATGAGTAGTCCTATGCAGACATTATTTGTCAGATATAGATAACTGTCGAATTTCCTCAAACCAAAGAGACGAACCCTCATTGATATGTAGCTGAATCTCTATCACCTGGCGTGTTGCAGTCAAATCGCTATCATGACAGCTAGAAAGACGACATTTTTCAGCATATTTTACCGTCTTTCCCTGTGGCTTGCAAACTTTGTCACAAATACTTGGATTCAGGAACTTTAGATCAAATTCTAACACCTAAGCAAAAAGTGTGATTTAAAGCATCCAAATAAATAATGCAAAACAGCACAGTTGAAATCAAGCAATTAACCATGATACTGGACCTAATTAGAAACCGTCCCAAATCTAAATTTGTTAACTCCTATGACTTGAAGCATAGACAACATGATGTACATTTAGACGACAATGAAAAATGGTTGGTTTCGATGTAGTTAGTTTGTATACTATTATACCGATTGATATTGTTCTAGCAACAGTTAGAAACGAGCTCAATAGTGACCGCGAGCTTACACTATGATTTAAAGTGTCAGTAGATGATATCGTGTTAAGAGTACAGCTATGCCTAACTTCCACAATCATTAAGTTTCAGGATAAAACATACAAACAAACTGAAAGAACTGCCATGAAATCACCAATATTCCCTTTACGCGGCACACATATTTATGGGTATTTACGAAAAGATGACTGTCGAAATATTTAGTCCTGTTCCAGTGGCTTCGAAATGTAGATGACACGTTTACAGCGTTGGAATCGTAGCACGTACATACTTTCTGTAAATATATACAACGAAAACAAGATGGGAGTTTAGACAATTGTATCTACAGAAAACGTTCACACTCAAATCCGTACTTAGACTTCAAATCATCTCATGTCAGTTAAAATTGGCTTGCTAAAAGGTCGAAGTAAAACGGCCAGGAAACTTACTAAAAAACAGATCTAAGACAAGAAATCAAGTACATGAATGACTGTTTACTCATCACAATTACCCTCCAAAATTAATTGACAAGTTCCTTAAGAATCGTAAGAAATGTATGACCAATATTAGTAACACACGTGTTAATAGTAGTATTGATAATGTTCATAATAGTAGCAATACTGTGAACAGAGAAGTTGGAACCTCTGCAGTATCACCATACAAAGAAGGCGCCACAGTGACATCACGTAGGATTATCAGCAAGGCTGAGATTAGAGTGACATTTGAGCCTGAGAGCTCACTTAGAAATAAGCTTCGTAGGTTAAAAGATCTAATTGATCCGGTCGGGTAGAATAATTTAGTTTAGTAAATCCCTAACAACGATTGCGGAGTCAAATACATATGTCAAAGTAGTCGACTAGGATCATTCGAGCTATCCAAGTACACAAAATTAGCTAGGTCAAAACTAGTAGATTTTAGTAAGACAAGGAATTTAAAAACATCTCGGCCATAGATATGCATGCAGTCACACACCACAATAAGATGGGACAAGGTGAAAATCCTTACAAGGAACATAGCAGCGTTGAGGGAGAAATCGATAATTGAATCTGTGAGTGAACAGTTGTCTTAAATAACTTCTTCAGGCTCTACAGTTATAAATCAATGAGAATAAGTGAAGTACCATAGCTAAAATAAGGCATGATGTACAATTTTATCATATTGAAACAGTCAGTGTTACGGGTGAGTGGAGATCAAATCGAATGGAATGGTGGAATGGTAAGCAATCTAGTGTGTTAGTTGTGCAATAAAATCACTATTGACAGAACAATTACGAAATGAGGAGACAAAGTCTACAGAAATATACGTTATATACACTTACGGGGGCATGCATGTGTATGTGTTTCCTTACTAAGCGTCAAGTAACAATTATGCAGTGATGAAAAATATTCATGTGGGATGAAAATCATGTGAATGCAATAAAGAAATAGAGAATAATAAATGTGAAGTATTGCATCAAGGTTGAAAATGACTACAGGTTGTGGCATGAATAAAGAAGGGCATAAAACTAATGTGGAGAGACTAAAGGATGCACTGGATTCAAAACTACAACCAGAACAGGTTGGCTGGCTGTCTTCAGGAAGTACAAATCATGTGCTGACCAAATTGCAACGCTATACTACCCATCATCATAGAACGAAGCATAGAATGACAGTCAACTCTACACCTCAACTTTATCGACTTTGAGAAGGCTTTTGACAGCGTCAACCGAGAAGTCATTTGTCAGGCAGCTGCTTCAACACTACGGTTTTAGTACCACAAACGCTTATCAACCTCATTGAACAACTATATGAAGATGCCACATGTGAAGTGATTCACAATGTGGAGCTCAGTGATGCCTTTGCACTGGAAGTGAAGACAGGAGTAAGACAAGGCTGTCTGTTGTCACTCATGATCCTCCTCATTGTGGTTGACTGCATCATGCAGCAAACAGTGAGGAGAGAGAAGGAAGGGATACACTGTACCACGGCACGGAAAAGATCCTACAAGATCTGGATTTCACCAATGACTTGTGTCTGATGTCACACAAACTTGATGATCTACAGGCGAAAACTAACAAGTTGACAGAAGAGGTGAGGGAGGGCAGCGAAGATGGGACTTCAAGTGAATGTAGAGAAGACGGAGGTGACGAAGATACCGCACAAACAACTCCAACAACAACAACAACAACAATAAGCTGCAATCACCATGAACGGGAGAAACCTAAAAGAAGTAGTCTCCTTCACCTATCTAGACAGCACTATTTCAACTACAGGTGGCACAGGCACAGACGAGGATGTCAAAGCCAACCAGGATTGGAAAGACAGCAAGACAGGCTTTCGTGTATTAACCTGAAACCAGTGTGGATATCTTCTGCACTCCTCTCAGCATGTGGAACAAGATGTGGATTTTCATCACCAACTTCAAATCAGTGCTTTTATGTGATGGTTCAGAGACTTTGTGCGTTACGAAATGCATTTCCAATAAACTACAGACATTCATCAACAACTGCCTACACTGGCTCTTTACTGAATATCAGATGGCGAGAATAACAAGAATAAGCAAGAAGGAACTCTGGCTGGCTGGTTGGCTGGCAACGAACCAACCAAGAATCTATCACTCAACAAATATGTGTTGGAATGAAGTGGAGATGGATTGGGCATACACTGAGAAGGCCGACTGGGGACATCACGTGTCTGGCCAGTTGCTCGAGTGGAACCTAGATGGGAGGCGACGAGTTTGGCGTCCGTGGTGAGGGTGACCTGGAGGAGGTGGTGTGAGGAAGAAATGAGAGCTTGTGGGTTGTCGTGGTGCCAAGTTCAAAAGATTTCAGAGAAGAGAGTTGAATGGAGACGTGTTACTGGAGCCCTATGTTCCATTAGGAACCCAAGTGACAAATAATAAAAAAAGAATAATGAAACTAATGAGATCAGAAAATGAGTGTTCATCAAAGTAATGACAATATAGAAGAAAGGAGTCGGAGGTTAAAAGGTGCAATTTGCCATTGGAAAGTTCGCAATGAACGTATCGACCCTATCGTGGGCCAAGGTAGACACTGGATACACATATTTCTTTTGAACACATCGACCACGTTTTCTGGCGTCGATACCTATGGCTTTGGCTATCTATGAGATGTGAAGTCGTGCACCTTTAGGGAAATTGCAAGCGACAGGGTATATCACATAATAGGCGTAATTTACCTTGTTCTGAATAATATGCGGGATCTTTAAATTATTAACTGAATCTTTGTTCATCGAATCAACACCATATATGCAACAGGAATGACTCAGCACCTATTCCGGACAAATGGGAAATCCTACTACCTATATCACAAGGAAGGCAAGATAAATGGAACCATGTCTAAAAGTTGGGAAACTACCTTCATATGACTATGGGCAATGATTTTTGTCCGAAGCCTAATCTAGTAAAATATACTATTCGTTTGTGTGATGCTTGTAATAAATGGAACTTCCATAGAGGAAATATAATTTAGACAACCATATTGTATTTGTCTTTTCTGGATTTCATTGTAGACACTAAGCAGAATGGTTACAAATTTTTTTAACATTAACATTGTTACTATAAGATTTTCTTTAACCTGAAATTCGACCAGGATTAATGTATGCTGTTTCAGTTATGTTAAATACATACTACTGTTTTCTGAATTTTTACCCTTTTCAAATAGAAATGAACGTTTTCTTGTTTTGGATTATTGTGACCGTGCTTCAGTTCAAGCATTTGTACAACGTAATGGTGATCTGATCGGCACTAGTACAAATTTACTGAAAAATCCGAAAAATTCCATTTCTGCTGAACCTTTATGTATTATAGAACCCTGTACCGACGATATACAGTTGAATACGCAGAAAACAAAGCGTTTCCTTTCACCAGACTCAGAAGACACTTCTAAAAACTTGAAGTGCACAGCTAAGGACAAGCGTCATAGGCGTCATAAAACCACAAATGATTTCGACGACCTAATAACGCCGAAAACTAGTGATAGTAATAATGACAACAATAATGGTGTTCGAACAGAACCGAGTAGAGTTCAAAGTTATGTCGAAACAAGTAAGAATGTAGAAACTAGTAAAGTGAGTAATACTGATGGAATTCCTACCTCTATTACACCTGCCACTACCAGTAATAACTTGACTGGTCTTCCTAGTGCTACTACCACCACCACTGCTGCTACTTCAGTTACCACTACTCCCACCACAGTCTTCATGAGTAGTGCTACCTCAACGAAAAAAATCAATCTATCCCGATCCGGTAGTAGTCTGAGCGGTTATCATTTACGCTTTAATCATGAACGAATAAGAAATATCAAATCAAATATATTCAGTACACCACAGTCAAATATGAATGCCTTAGTGAACTGTAAAACTGGTACAATACACCTGAAATTGCTTGGAAGTCATAATGGAACTTGTTCGGAATTGGTTCTTCTACCAAAGGATGAGTAAGTCAAATAACAAAAAAAGAATATCTTTTTTTCAACGTCATCCTCATTGCACACGAATTATGTAACTGACGTGTCACTTTAGAAGGACTGGATCATTTTCACACCTATAGTTTGCTAACTAAACAATGGGGTTGACTATTCTGCTGCTTGAGAACTGCCTTAAGTACTTTGTTTCAAAGTATGGTATTTTTGAGTTTTCATACGATGTCAAACTTTTCAACCCTCGCTATTCTTGGCTCCTTCAACCTCTGAGATGAATGAAATGTAAATACAGTTGAAAAGTTTTTTCATGTCTAATTTATGTATGCAATCAAAAGTGCATTATTTCAACTCCAAATGGTTTTGGAATATCTAAATCTTCTAAAAAAACTGAGAGTTGGTAAAGTAGACATTTTTCAATCGGTAGTCACACTATTATTTCGAAAGGAAAAGTAACATTGTGGATTGTTGATCTCTGCTCCGATCTAACCTCTCATTTTATTGGTTCATCAGATAGCACACCTTTAGATCAGAAAATTTTCTCATTGTATAGAAAGCATTGAAGCTTGATGTTGCTGGTACTGAAAACAAGGTCATATTGACTGTAATGTTGTCTGACACAAGTGTATGATACTTACACCGGCAACCAGTCAACTTTAAGCTCAAACATTTCGAGCACATCAGACCATTTAGGCAGAAAAAACCCATAGTCAGTAGCAGATAATATCGTAAAGAAGTAGGTATCCCTAATAATGAGTTAGTTTACAACTGTTTTTTCTTTTTTTTATCACTTTCACTTTCAGTCGAGAGTTCGAAAGTTGGTGTAAAGCTTTCTCCCTGTCCCTTGATAGTCCATACTAAACAATGTCAATACTCTAGTGAAATACATCAAGTAAGTGTCTTTGTATTATCCCTGAATATGTTTTTATTCACTACTTCATATTCCCTCTTAGACTGTTTATTTTATATATTACCGCTTCCGGCATAATCAATTCAAACAAATTCAGATAACTAATTGGGAAAAAGTAAAAAACTGGTAGAATTCGTCCACAGAAACAACCAATCAGAATATTCATCCTAAATATCTAATCAAAAAAGGCGATGTTATTTCAGCCAGCTAAAGTTATTCCATAAGAAATAAGGCATTATATACATACTCAAAGGGAATTCCATACGTTTCTTTATTGTTCAGAAAATACTTGTGCAGTTCTAGATAAACTACTAAAAAAAGAACAAAATATCTAAATGCCCTTCCCCTTGTGTTTTTTTGCAATTCTGGTCACTAGTAACAGCTGATAGAAAAGATGTTGAATTAACTCAAAGCATTTGTCCTAACAGTCGTTCTGATTGGTTCCTTGTTGAATAGGTCTTACATGTTGCTCTGATCTTTCTTAATCGAGCAGTTGAAGTTGTTTCTGTCTTCTCATTCATCTTTTCAGTTCACTCTGGTGATATCAAACAGGTTTTTTGTATCTGGAAGACATTTAGTGCGGTTGATTTGTTCCCGTTAACATATTTTCAAAGTATAGTAAAGAAGCGGAAATCTAAAAAACTTTGTGCATTCAGTAGGCTTCCAGCCACTGCTGAAAATAACAGTACTGAACGCGGCATATTGAGAAAGCACACTACAGAGTTGAAAATAAATTCTGAAGGGTTATCAAGATTTATTTAATATCCAGTTAAAGATCCGGTTTACTGCAAGTATTTTGCCTGAATAAAATATGAGGTGACCAGTAGAATAAACGTTTTGTGCGTACAGACATTCAACAACTAGATGTAATTCTATTCTCAAGAAGAAGCAACTCTTGTAACCTCTGAATTTACGCTTCTGTCTTATCCAAGTGGTAGCATTACTACCAAAATTTTGAAGTAGAAGCTTTCAACCTGCAGACAAAGATTTTATTGGAGAATATCTATCGAATGTATGAAAAAATCTCCAAAGCAGTGTGTTATTGTGAAAAGTTGCTGTCGTCGCATTCTTTGACGCGATAACTTAGTTTTCAAAGCATCAACGTTATTCTACACAGTATAGGCGTGAATATCTTGAAAAAATTCGTATTTTATAAGTTTAAGAGCAAGTGGAACAGTAAGTTGTTTCACTGTTACGATGCTGTAGTCAAGTCCTCCTCCTGAAAACGAGGGATATTCATGAAGTAAAAAAGATCAGATTGCTCTTACTTTTTGGAGTGAGTGAATTACAAATGATGCATTTTTATAGAAGAAATCACACAACTTTCATACTTCTTTCTTATATTCCAGCAGCCCCTTATTCACATATCTTTATTGGTAGTAGAATTGATCACATGCCTGCAGCGTATGATGAGTCATTCCTACTGCATGTATCGGACATTGATCTGATGGACGCAGACTCAGGAATCAACCTATCCTGCTACTCTGTTCCATCCAGTGTTTTGACTGTTACTACTTGCACGGTTATTGTCAAACGTTTATATAGATCTCTAACTGATTTCTGAAATGTTTGACTCCAGCAAATGTCTATTTGTAACATTATGTATGACAGCATAAAACTAATGAGATGTAAATTTATCTGTTCGCTCACTATATAGATCGCCAAAAGAATTATTCTTTCCAAAGCCGAAACTTCCCACAATGTTATCCAGTCCTGTTAATATGGAAGTAAAACTTCGGTTTTGTGACAGACTGTAATCCTATTTTAGATAAATAAACTAAAAAAGTATCTAGGCGTTTACTAGATTTTACCAATACCTGAAATTATACGAAGGACTACAGGGGAACGAAAATGAACAGAGTAAGCGTTTCTACTCAGTTCATGATGATTAACATGGTTCAAAATCCACAAGTTTACAAAATAAATCTGTTATGTACCAAAATTTCAGTAAGTACATTATCTTTTAACTATTGGGTGGAGTTCTATCACTTTATCATCAGAATTTCGACAAAAATCTCCCTGATAAATGAGTAGTGAACTTTAATTTCAAAACCCATTTCCATGATGTACTCCTTGTAGTTTGTATTTTATTTTTGCAGATTCAACACTATTTGGACGGTTGGATGGATTTAAATTGAATATATTTGATTCGCTTGTAAAAACAACCAAAAGTTTTAAATTTCAACTGAAAATTACATTTTGTGCGACTTTTACAAATACATCATTTTACGTATTAGAAATTTTTCATAAAAAGCATATTCAGTCTATGAGAGAATGCACAAGCTTATACAAAAATGATACGCATGAATACCAATGACAAAGTAGGACAAAGAAAATTAAAGTGTTTATTTTACATAATTTGTATTAAACCATCAAAATTATTTGTACACCTGATAAAATTAATTTATTATGAGTATTATTCACATCCTTTGACACATCTGTAACACCTTTATTTAAACCAGTAATTAGGAAATTTTTAGAAAGTCGTAATTAAGCCCCATCTTTACATAAAATTACCTACTTTTGTAATCATTTGTGAATGTATTAAGCGTGAAGAATTTCTTCTACTATCCTCTTTTCTTCAAAGTACCTAATGGAACCAATTGTGTATAGACTGTTTATTTGTCTGTTTCTAAGATCTACGATGATATAGTTTTCAATCTATTTCTCCTTGAGAAAATGAAGAAAAAACGTCAAGAAACACTTCATATAATTTATCCTAAAATATAAGCAGATTATACGGTGCCAAATATAATCAGTTTTTCCCTGACGGTATATACTTTTATGCATGATATGGAGTCAATTGTTTTACTAGACTAACGTGTTACGACGAAGTTACTTAAGCGCTTATACGATTCTCACTTTGATGCTTACACAGTTTACAAAACAATGCGAGCGCCACCTCAGCGTTTTTTTAACCAGCACCAGTTTTTCGCGACAAGATTTTTCTGCTGTCGACAGTTTGATTCAAAACCTTTAGTATCTGGGAATCAGTCAGTCTTTGTGCATGCATCTGTGCTTAAAGATAGCTTTTTTATGAAAATAACAGTTTTAATTTCATTAAGTTGTACTGTTTCTGTGCATTTATGTATGATGGTAAAGAGTTTTGTTCAAATAATAACCTCCCTCTCTTTTTGACTACTGTGTTTACTACTCTTATAATTATTATGTAAACAGATGAATATGCAAGACAAAAATAATCTTATCATAGTTTTAAACATTGGGTTTGTCTTCTCAACTAAATTTTTTAAATTCTGAGTGTTGGTTGTTTGACAACTCTTCAGTATCTGTACTTTTTGTAATTTTTTTCGCTCCCTTCATAATACCATTACAGTTATTTATTTGTGTACTAAAAACCAAACAAATACAGTTTAAATGAAATAACTTATCAGTCATCATGTTAATTTTCATACTTGCAATGAAAAAGCAAAACAGGAAAGTGTAGATGCACACTTAAACACCTCTTCTATCTCATTCTAATCCCCCCCCCCTTAAAAAAGAATATTGATTGTTCAACGCTAACAGTTTACAATCTCTGGAGAATGCCAAAAGAAAGTGGCAATGGAGTGAAAGTAGTGTTACCTATGATTTTTGCTGTTGTTAAGTGCTCTTATTGAGAATGTATTATAAAATAAAAGGAAAGGTGTTCGATCTCGTTGTGAAATTCACGCTGATCTTCAGAGTGAAATTCTAAATAAATAAAGTTAACCGTTTTATGACATTCCGAACCATCATCACCTAGGCTAACTTAGACGCATCACTCATGTCTAATTAACATCAGGCCCAACTTACAATTTTGTCGAGAGTAAAGTATTACTTCAAAATTGGTTTACTGGTGGTGTTAAGGGATGGCACCAAACAATTATTTTCATGACTGTTAAGATGATACCTTTCTGAGTCTCTTTCCTTTTACAACACAGATTATCTAACATTCATATTCAGTAAATAATTGCGATGTACTAATCGATCAATAAGACAGATCTCTTGTACACAATTTGGTAATGTTATCTGATCTTCTCATATTAGTGATTGACTACATTTTGAACTTGTAATCTACTTTTCGAAAGTCGATGGATCAGGCCGATTACTAGCAGTTGTACTAAGTTTTGTCTTCAATGTCGCCGATTATTTTCGAGTAATTTCGTGGATACATGTACTTCAGTCTCTACATCCTCATTCAGTTGTCGGTTCACAGTTCATCTCACCATAACCACTTTTCGATTCTGAAAACAGCTAACTGTACGTTTTAAGCATGCAATGCGCAACCTCTGAATATCTGGAGATAATTGCCAGGCTCGACTATTTTCTATTAGTAAATAGTCAACCGAATTTCGGTAAATCATAAGAATTTCATTTATAAGGGATACGCATGAAAAGTAGAAGTAAAAGATGGACATCGACTAGAGAAAACTAAGTTGGTACAATAGTGCAAATTGCAAGAAATGGTTTTCGGTAACAGTGGAAGCACCAAAATGATGGCTTAACAATAGAATGTTTTAGTGGAAAGTGGAAAAATAATCAGTCTACGGTGAAGTACTGCACGAAAGTAGCATGAGTTATAAACATTTAGTGGGCCTTGTGTAAATTGGATTCCAAGTTCATGTGTCTTGGTTGGATTGTGTTCTCTAAGCTGGGTTGTTTAGTCGTGAAGCTTTCATCGTCTTAGCTAGACGACATCATCAGCACTTCAGTACATGTGTAATTCCACTTAAGTATATGTTGAGCCCTCAGGCAATAACACCTTGAGTCTTTTATCAATTATTACCGAATGCATACGGTTTTATATGTTCCTTTAACAATACTTATTCCATAAAGTCCCACTTTAACTACATTGGATCCGTTTCTGATGACAGGAAGTGTATCTTCAGGAGAGTCATTTTTTGCTGCCTGACAAAAAATATAGATTTTAAATTCGTCTGTCAAAAGTTTAGGTCTAGAATTATACTACTTACAAGTATAATGATGAATAGTATTGTATTTGAGTGACATTATCCATTAGTTAGCGTAGATAAACAAGTATTGGGAACACTGTGAGAGGATGCACAAAAGTTCCATTCACTAGGGAGGACTTCAGAACAATTCAACAGAAATTTTTCTCTACACAATAGCTGAGAGATTGGCAGAGTGTAATGAATGCATTTTAACTCATGGCCTCTCAACTACTATAAGAATATAAAGTGAACAACTACCTTAGATGTAATAAATGCGTTATCAACGTCTAACTTCGGTAGTAATAGTTGAGTCAAGCAGATAAGAGAAGAGGAAGACAGCGAATTCTGGCAAAAATCAATGAGACCAAAGATGTTTATCGAAGAGTCAGTCTTTTCAGTGACATCACTCTCAATCTGTTAAATAGCATATAAACATATTCACATTGTTTTATGATTTAATGGGTATTTTTAAGCTACTGAAGCACTGCAAGAACCTCACGATGGTTAAGGAGCTGAGTAGATTTCTCTGTTTTTCCGAAGAGCTTGCCACAGCGAAAACCAAGAACCGTTTTTTGACAGACCGCTTAGATCGACAAGAATATATAAGGCCTTATGGGAAAGCAGTTAGACGCAATCATGTTCATCAAACCTCGAAGACTGTGAAGCATCGAAAACGAAGTCATATAGACAAGATAAAATCACCCGTCACTAAACTAGAACAAAATATTCAACTCAGAATGCATGCTGTCTATTATCTGCAACCAGATTTACACAAATCTTTTGCAGATTATGTCACGGAAGTATCAAAGAAATGGTGTACTATGACTTAGAATTGTAAAACAGCCTGAAAGCAACTACATCTACTGTAAGGTAATTTTAAACAAAACCAGGAAAATATGTTTTCAGCCTAATATAGGTGTAAAACTTAAGCACTGTAGTAGAATTTAATTCCATATTAAATCGAATGTAGAATATCCTCAGTTTATCAGATATTCCATTGTTCACAATACAACTGGAATTATCATCCTTGGGTCCTAAATTTTGTATTAAGTTTCCAGCATCAGCAAACTCCATACACAAGTGCAATTTGGAAATCTCATGAATCAAACTCATAGGTTGGTACCTACATCCAAAGAGTAACTGGAACACTTCAAGTTAACAGTTTTCATAAGTTTATCAGCACAAAGGTGAACAGTCAACCCATATTGATTAAGAAACACTGAGAAGAGGTCAAAGAATTAATGCACAACAAGGACATTATAGTGGTGAGTCCTGACAAAGGGGGAAGGGCTGTTGTATTCATAAACTGCCAAGAATATATATATGTATACAAATTAACATCTATCCTCTTTGATAAAACAAAGTTTATAAAACCTGTCAGTGACAAGAATAAACGGAGCAGACCGAAATGATGGAAAACATTTTTTAGCTCAGGATGAGAATGATAGTGGTTTGGTGTTCACTGAGCTTCGATATTTTGACGTGGACGTTTCATAACTAGGCCAAATGACATCTTCAGTACTAATTTCATACAGAACTTTCTGAAGTGAATGCTGGAGATGTTACCAGCCCTGGTGATGAAACATTCACGAAAAAATATCAAACCTCAGAGAACACCAAACCACCATCAGATGTTTTAAAAATCGAAGTCTTTTTCTATGCCTTGGAAACCTGACCTCTCCAAGCTGAGGTCAACTGATGACTGCATTCTCGACCACTCTTGTCTCCGCAAGATTGCTCACACTTGATAGAGACACCGTAAATAACTTTAAGCTGAGATGGTTATTGTTTGAGTATGACGAAGGTCACCACTCATTGAGTGGCGTCATACTGAAACACAGGCGTTGATGGATACAACATGTGTTACACTCATCATCCCAGCAGTTTCCACACCACTCGCCATTTATTTACTCCGAGACTGGTTAAACGGAATAGGGAGGTGTAAAGAGGATGACTTGACGCTGTGGGATGACGTTTAGTAGATGTGGCTGATAAAGGAATCCGATGACAATTACACTATAGTGGCCATGACGTTTCCGTGGCATTCCAGGTGACTTTCCTCCACTATTTTTCTGAATGTCCAGTGAGGCTGTTACGCCTATTGTCATATAAGTTTCCGGAAACGTCTGTATGGTCTGACTGATTGAGAATGTTTTAAGAAGTTTAAAGCTTTGTGAGGTATCTACCGTCTAGATATTGTGTATAGTAAAAGTTACTTGTTAATTTTCGGCTTTAAATGAGCCGTCGAATATTGTCTTCAGGCTCTGATAATAATGTACGTTATTTCCAAAACGATTAGGCTGTATAGAGTGTCCTGTTTTTTCTCGAAGTATATTCATGGATAAAATAATGAACTAAGTCCTAAAAATATGTGGCAACTTTGTTTAAGATACATTATTCTCACATTACGAGACCCTTAAAAGCCTTGTCCTGTTCGATAATGAAAAAATGGTAAAATCAGTAATACCAACCGAATAGATCATTGAATCAAGGGTAAGAGACTAGACCAAGTTCATTTGTAATTATTTCAGTACCGAGGAGAAATATTTGAAAGATAAACCACTGCATTTTCTCCTACACGCTGTCACACTCAGTTCTGTCAAAATGTTCTGCTTAACGCGTATTCGACATCGTGAACAGGCATATATCTACTGCTGAGGGTAATGAAATATCAGCGATGAAACTTTAAAAATCTGCATCACTGGACTGAAAAAAACTGGCTAAATGGTGGTACATCGACCGTAAAAGTATGATTGGTCATGGGTAGATTTCTTATACGGTTATGAATACGTCGTAATACGTGGTTTCAGGAGTAAAATAAAACAGATGTTTAACACCTCCTTTTCCTTTATTCCTTAACTAATATCAGTTCGAGTCAGAACCTGTCTTGAAAGATAAAAGAGCAAATATCAATATCGTGTGTATATCTTATGTGACTAGACAGCATGAAGTCGGTTACTTTCAGTGACCAGTCAGTGTCTCTAATCTGACAGTGAAGAAGGTCACTTACAGCCCACAAATGTTCCTGGTAATACCTCTTCTTGTAGTACTGCGTAAAGTGAGCTTGAATCTTTGCAAAAACGTTGGTTTCCTCGAGGTTTGAGATACGCCTTTCTGACAAGTGTACTTTTCTACCAACGGCCTGTAACCACTTAACAAATTATATATATATATATATATATATATATATATATATATATATATATAGTGTGTGTGTGTGTGTGTGTTAGAAAACTCTACTCAAACATTCATAGCTCTGCATTGTTTGGGAGCGAAACTAGCTTCTCGGTAATTGGGTTTTGTAATGTTCAATAAGGAAATGAACTCTCCTTCGTTTAACTTCCTCCTAGACACTCTCAAGTAGGACATACTTTTGTGCTTCAAATTTATCGGGTTCTAATCACCTTCCGCAGATGCACCAATGAAGCATAAAAGTTGCATAACATGTTGAACAGCAACACTG